AGTAACTCGGTGCGAATTCGCGCACCGGTCTCAATAGATGTGAAACACATCTATTGAATGTGGCTGGTGCATTATTAAGCCCTTGCGGCATCACCAACCATTCCCAGAGCATACCACTGGGAGTGCTCACTGCTGTGTACGGGATGTCCCGTTCACGCATTAGGATCTGATAGAAACCATCCATCAGATCCATGGACGAAAAGATGGTACTCTTAGACATACCATCTATGATTACGTCCTTTCTCGGTATCGGCGTTTGCGCCGGTATCGTTGCAGCGTTCAACTTATTGAACGCATGCACTATCCGCCACCCTCCTGTGGCCTTACGCACACAGAAGGTCGGAGAGCTGTGAGGTGAAGTTGACTCCCTCACATGGCCCGCTGCTAGGCGATCGGCAAAGAACTTGTCGATCGCCTCGACCTGTTCCCGAGGCAGTGGCCACTGCTTCATGACACAATATTTTGTGCCAGGAACAAGGTCGATCACGTGTCGAGTACCTTTATCCTTAGGTAACTCGCACGGAACGGATTCAGGGAATACATCCTTGAATTTGACCAAATCCTTGTACAAAGGATTTGACTTCAGCGACTCCCAGGATTGCGATGTATATCGCTCAATCCGAGTCTTCTCATCAAGGACACTCTCGTCCATTGATGAGCTGCTGAGAACCCGTTCGTTCTCGGCAAAAACTGTTGCTGACCGAATGTCAGTCATGTACTCGTCCTCTGCGACGAGCACACAGATCTGCTTGACTTTGCCACTACGCAGATCACGCAAGAACCTTTTAGGTTCTAGCGTAGGCAACTGAGTTATCTCCGAAGTTAACTTCGGAGGCGCGATCAGATCAAGCGTATAAGCGCCTACTGATCCTTCATTAACCGAGACGTTCAACGTCTCGGTTACTTCCTGGGGACTTATTCCCTCAGGGCACTGGGGACTTATTCCCTCAGTGATTATTTCCTGGGGACTTATTCCCGCAGGCTCGATGGAACCTGTTCCATCGACTTCCTCTAGCTGTGGTGGCGCAACCACAGCGAGATCCTCTACGATCAACTCTCCAGTTGATCTAGGATTTCCATGTTGCCGCTTCTGGGCAACCGGTTTACTCTTCGGTGAATGCTGCCCTCTAGGCGAGCATTCATGTCCCGGTCCACTCGACTTATTCGAGTGGTGGACCTTCGGCGCTGCCTGTGCTTGTGCACAGCCGCCGGCAGCTTGCTCCACAGCGTGACTGTCTGTCACGCTGAGTTCTTGTGCAGTCGTACTAACGACCGAACCACAAGTGAGGCCATCACACTCACTCATAATACAATCACACGCTTGTGAACGCTCCAAGACGTTCATCAGATGGCCATCTGATGAACAAGCGGCAGGCATCTTCACGGTTCGATGCTGCCAGCTGACCCATGGCTCGTACCTTCTGAGCCATGGTAATCCTAGGATGACATCAAATTTGTCATCCAGGTCGAGTATGATGAAAATCATCATCGTACTTTTTGCCTTCAAGCGTGTAGTGAATTCCCACTACACGTTTCTTTACTGTTACGGATGCGCCAGTTGCAAGACGCACCGTCATCCTCGTTGGAGGGGTCTCGCGCTCAACATATTTGAGCCTACGATCATCTAGCGATTGGCGTCGAACAAAGTTGTTCGAAGCCCCACAATCAACTAGGGCGCGAAGTGACATGTTCTTTGTCACTTCGATCTCCAAGGTGATGAGGGATACCTCATCACTGGGGGCGGCAACACACAGTGACTGTGTGTTGGGAGCAACCTTCGTCAAGAGTCCCGCGAACTCTCTTGCCGTTGCTGGATCAGTAGGGCGCTCCGCCCCTACTGACCCCGACCGTTTTTTGATGGTCCACCACGTTGTTGCGATTTCGCAGCAACGTGGGACCCACGCCTCTGGCCCTTCTTGGCAGACGGTCGATCGTCACTCCCAGTGTTACGAGACACTGGGCGTGGGGCACTACACTCATAGGCGTAGTGGCCCAACTTCTGACAGCGATTGCACTTTTGCAATCGCTTGTACCCTGGAGAGCGAGGTCGCTCGCTCTCTACATAGGAGAGGTCCATTGGTTCTGGACCTCCGCCCTCCTGTCGTCTCGGTGGACGATAGGACCCCGAGTGGACGTGAGCCTGTTGCAGGCTAAAGTCCTCCTGTTCCGCTGCAGAGATCGCTTGGTCCAGCGATTCTAGTTCCAAGCGGAACAAGTGCGTCTTGACAGGATCATCTGTCAGACCCTTGATGAACACAGTAACCTGCGTGTGTTCATCTATTGGGTTCAGTACGATACAGCTAACGAGATATCGTACGTGTTGGGCGTAAGCGTGTACATCACGCTTACCCTGTTTCAAATCCAGGAGCTCAGCCCGAGCCCTGAATTCGGCGCGAGGCGGTTCAAACGTGTGTTTGAGCCGCGCCTTGAAGACGTCATACGTTGGGAAAACGTATGGGTCGTGCAGTTTGAGCCCTAAGGCCCAAGCTTTGGCACGTCCTGCCAAGTTCGACATGGCGAACTTGACCTTCATCGCATCGTCATCGATGCAACGAGCCTCAATGGCATCGTCGAGCTCGACGAACCATCTTAGCAAGGAATCGCTTTCGACTGCCTTATACTTGGAGACATCAATCTGTAAGGGCTCAAGACGATGTATATGCGTCGGCCCGGCAACAGCAGCACTAGCCCTGCTGTTGTCTCAACAGTTCAGACTGTTGAGCACCCTGCTGCATCAACAAGTCAGCTTGTTGAGCGCCTTGTTCTCTCAACAGTTCAACCTGTTGAGAACCTTGCTCCTCTAGCAAGGTGAGTTTCTTTACAACTTCGTCAAGTTCATGTTGTATGAACTTGGCGATGGTTGCATGTTGGTCGTCTTCGCTAAGAGAGAGCAACATGGCACCAACGACAGGGTTGCAGATGGTTTCAGCCATACGCTGAACCGCATTCCATTCGAGGTCACTCAAATGGCGGAAATCATCACGCGTTGCGTGATGACGTTCATCACCCGCTGATTCCATAGCGGAAGCTTTACTTCTAAACGATACGCTTAGAAGTAGAGGAAAAGAAAAACTGTATTTAGTATAGTTAACTATCTAATAAAACTAATCTGTTATAGCCTATGATAACTATATAAAACTTTAACAATGTATGCTAACAACTTGCCCTCCACTCATTGCGCGCGTCCATCGGTCATTGGTCAGCGCGTTGGTTGATATGATGGCCCATATCGACCAATGAGAGGGCATCTCCAACTTTAAGGAGATCTAGGAACAATATTATAAGAAAAGGTAATATTGTCAAATATTATTAGCTATGAATAATATATTTATTGACACTTCATATAAGTGTCAATATTATGTAACGGGCTCGCCCCGTTACAATATACCAGTACACGCCAAGCCTTATCCGATCCACGCAGTCTCGAGAATGCAGTAAAGGCAGCGATCCAGCGTCTGATTAAGCTGGATGTACTGGAACAAATTTACAATTCTGAAATGGCTAGTCCAGCCTTTTTTGTGCCGAAACTGAATGGTTCACTGCGACTTCTAATTGACTATCGAGTGCTTAATCATTGGCTTCGTCGAAGCCCATACTTCGTTCCTCGAATACGCGAGATTCTGCTACGTCTCGCAAGTGCACGATGTATAACGACGCTGGATGCCAACATGGGATACTACGCTAGACAATTGGATAAAGAAAGCCGTCCGTTTACTGCTTTTTGTCTACCATTTGGCAAGTATCAGTACAAGCGTTTTCCAATGGAACTTTTTACCGCACCTGACGAATATCAAGCCTGCATGGAAAAGATTTTTGGCGATCTGGAATTCGTCGTTGCATATTTAGACAATCTGCTAATTTTTTTCGTAATGAAATGGAACACTTAGAGCATCTTCGGGTGGTGTTCGAGCGACTTGACCACTATGGAGTCACAGTAAATGAAAAAAATTGTCATCTTTTACGACCGGAAGTAGATTACCTGGGCTATACACTGACTTCAGACGGCATGAAGCCACAAGCAAAAAAGATTCAAGCAATCAAGCAGCTTGCGATACCGCGAAAGAGAAAAGATCTTCGACGATTTTTGGGCATAATTAACTATTACCGTGACATTGTGCCAAATTAAACCGCATTGTGCCAGCCATTGCATCGATTGACAAGTGCAAAGGTTCCTTTCACATGGCTTCCAAGTGATACGAAGGCATTTCGAGATATACAAAGGGCATTTGCGGAGGCAGTTCTCCTAGCCTTTTCTCGACTTTACGAAACCATTTCATTTGTATGCCGATGCCAGTGGAAAACAACTTGGTGGCATCATCATGCAAGATCACAAGATCATCGCATGTTACTCTCGTGCACTCAATAAGCATCAGCTTAACTATACAACGATGGAACTGAAATTGCTTTCAATTGTAGAGACACTCCGGGAATATCGAACTATGCTTCTTGGATTTCCAGTTGTGGTCCATACGGACCATAAAAACCTTATTAACCCCACGGAAACGAACCTGCGGGTCAAACGCTGGAAATTGCTTCTATCCGAGTATAAACTGACGATGCACTACATCAAGGGAAACAAGAACATTGGAGCAGACGCATTCTCAAGAATGAAATATGAAACTACGCAGAACAAGGTAACATCAATAGACGAGCTATGTGCTGTCACAGATGACCCTCCGTGTGTAATGCATGGCCCGGTGCTTAGGCAACATCAAGACAAAGACCCGATGATTCAACAAATTAAGTCAGCATGTCTCTCAGGCGCAAACAACCCGGATCGTTAAAATAGATATGGCTTCCCGTCAAAAGACTATAGTGCTTCGTAAGATGCACCGAGCCTGGTCAGCAGCGCTGTCGTTCACCGAATGAAATGCCCAGCAATATTGCTCAAAAGTTGAAAAGGCGACACTGCTGCTGGTAATACGCGTCTTCCAAAGACGAGTTGTGTCGTCAACATCACTCATCACTGACCTTTGACGATGCTTCGTGAGGCAATGTTACTAGTCCTCGAAGAAGAGGTACTCACGACATACCGGACAGTTGGCTTCACGATTAAGCCACTCGAACAAGCAGCTCATATGGAAGTTCGTGCGATTCATGCCGCAGTTGCATAGCGTGCGGACCTTCGGGTTATCCTACATCGATAAGCACAACACGATTCAATGAAGGTCGGCAACATGTCATTACTCAAGCAGTACTCACTTGAGAAAAGGTGTCCAAACACATGATGCATTCGAGCTCCAGTTGGCCTTCATCAACCTTTCAACGAAATAAACAAACTGCGGGTCAGTCGATATAGTCTCGCTTGCAAAATTCTAATTCCTTACCACGCCTGTGGCTTCTTGATATGAGCGTAGCAACTTCGATAATTCTTCTGGTGAAAACAATGGCGTTGGACGATAATCTGTATCCAGCCCCATCAATCCCGTCCTGTGCTGCTCCTCCTCTTTTCCTTCTCTCTTGTCTACGTCTTCCAGTAGCCCAATAGCAATAGAAAATCCGGTCCGCTTTAATCTTCCTCGTTGATTACTCCGACAACTGTTTACTCTAGTACCAAACACTTCCTGCATCTCCTGCTCGTGGTCATGACCCACCAGTATTTCCATCTCTTGATCACCATCGTCTTCATCACCTCGCTCCATGTCCATAGTATCAACATCATCAGAATGCCGTCTCTGATACTTACGTGACTGTTCCATGCACGAACAATGTTGACCCATGACGAGGCAGGCGTGTGCAGTCTTCGGTCTGATAACCCGGACTGCAACTGTACCGGTCTGGTACCAATGAGTACCGGTAAAGCATTCTCCCATTGACAGTATGATGCGTCAAGCTGTGGTCGTGGTGCTATTAGCACTGCTTTTTCATGCGTATAATGACTTTGTACCATTTGACTCTTACATTCCTTTCTCTGCATTCAATGCTACCATTGATGTACACTTTAGTGACTCGTATTATACAGCACGATCGCTCTTTCGTACTCGTGCTGGTGCTGCTGGTGCCAAGCTCTTCTCGCTCTCGCTGGAACATCTGGATTTGACAGTGGATGTAGCTATGCTAGTAGGATCAAGTGAGCGCGTTCTGCTGCATATATCTGGTACACATGGCGTTGAAGGTTTTGCTGGGAGTGCAATCCAGGCGGCGTTGCTAGAGAGAGCAGCGGAGGAAAACGGAAGCGATGCGAAACACATACCTACTGTGATCTTCGTACATGCGCTAAATGCATATGGGTTTGCCCATTTGCGGCGGTTCAATGAGCACGGAGTGGACTTGAACCGTAATTGGCTCACTCCTGAGCAATTCAAAGAGCGTCAAGTAGAAGATCCGAACGGACGTGGATACTTAGACATCTATGAGCTACTGAACCCCAAGGACTTGAGTATGATCCACAATTGGTTTTGGGTGAAGGCTATAATGCACTTAGCAACGAAGGGATTTGATGCCATTAAGCAAGCGACCATTGGTGGGAACTATCGTTTTCCACAGACTTTGTTTTACGGTGGAACGGAACTGGAACCCAGCTTGGCGTTGTTGCAGGAATTCTTACAAGAGCATGTGGACTTTGATAGTGTGACGAAGTTTGCAATGATTGACGTACACACGGGACTTGGACCTGCTGGTGTTGACACGCTTATGCTTGGGGCTGACAGTGATATGACTGTAGCACGCAGTGTCTTTACTGGCCAGGAGTATACCGATAAGGTGGTTTTCGTGCACGACAATGACAATCCAGTGTCACGTGGCTATGATGGCGTTGGCGGTTTTATCGTTGACGGTGTGGCAAACCTGTTGGGTCCGCAAACTAAAGGAAATACGCTTTTATTGTGTCAAGAATTCGGGACGGTGGCTGGCGTTTTTATTTTGAAAGCTATGGTGGAAGAGAACACCATGTATCACCACAGTCCATCGTCTGTGAATCGTGTACCGTACGCTCAAAAGCTCAGGGACGTATTTTATCTACATCAGAGTAGCTCCTGGAAAAGCGAGGTGCTAAAACGTCGTGGATCTGACGTCTATGATCGACTGTACACGTATTTGGCCTCATGAGTTACCAATGTCATACCAAATGCAATATAACGAAGGGTTACTCAGGGGTACTTTATTTTTTAGCTCTTCCATGGTCGTAAAGGTTTACTGAAGGTGCGTATCGGAGGAATACGGACCTACTGAGAGATATGTGGGTCACAAAAACGATCATTTATTGGCTAGAACGACGTCTTTTAGAATGACTGGCTGTTAATGCAGCTCAAGCAGCTAGTTTTCTAGCCTCTCCATTTGTTTATTCGCCATCTACGACAACATGCCCACCAAGAAGATTAAGCGCACCACTACGACGACGACGACAAAGTCGACCAAGTCCGTCAAGGTCTCGGGTGCCTCGAAAAAGAATCCTCTTTTTGTGTCTAGGCCCAAGAACTTTCGCAAGGGTGGTGACATTCAGGTATTTTGAAGCGCCGTCTTCTCCTTCCATCGCTTTTGTCTGCGTCTCTTTAAAGAGACAAGGGCAGCGATTTCACGCCCCTCGGTGATGATAGAGAGAGTGAAGAGACAGCTTTTGGCTCAAGTAGCCTCGGGTCTTGTCTACTCTCTTTATCTCATTAGAGAACAGTGTAGCGGGTCCCCCACGACCGCAATGACACAAAACTCGTGGTGGCAATTCCATTCGCTTGCGATGAGTTGCACCTCGAGGGTAAAGAACTGTTTGCTTTCTACTGTGTCATCATACACAACCTGGCATGATGAAGCTGTGTTACACCCCGTCCAATTCTTACTCCTATCTTGTTTATTTTTATGTAGCCCAAGCGTGACCTGTCCCGCTTCGTGCGCTGGCCGCGTTACGTTCGCCTTCAGCGTCAGCGCAAGATTCTGTACCAGCGTCTGAAAGTGCCACCTTCGATCAACCAGTTCTCGAACACACTGGAGAAGAATGTCGCCACGGACCTGTTCAAGCTGCTGCTTAAGTACCAGCCAGAGACCAAGGCTGCTAAGACTTTGCGTTTACGCAACATTGCCGCCGGCAAGGAGGAGGCCTCGGCCCCTCCTGCCGTTGTGAAGTATGGTTTGAACCACGTGACTTCATTGATCGAGCACAAGAAGGCCAAGCTCGTGGTCATTGCCCACGACGTGGAACCCATCGAGCTCGTGGTGTTCCTGCCTGCTCTGTGCCGTCAATTTAACATTCCGTACTGCATTGTCAAGGGTAAGGCTCGTCTGGGCCAGCTCGTGCACAAGAAGAACGCTGCCGCCGTGGCACTTACACACGTAAACAAAGAGGACAAGGCAAAGTTTGACTCTCTGACGGAGGCATTCCGCTCCAAGTTTAACGATGATACAGTTATCCGTCGTAAGTGGGGTGGCGGTATCATGGGTTTGAAGACCCAGAAGAAGCTCGAGTTGCGTGAGAAAGCGATCGCTGCCGAGGCTGCCAAGAAGGCCCAGTACTAAGTACTGTACGTGATTGGGTCGAAGCTGAGCGTGACGTGTGGTGCATCACTTCATATCTTCTTAATTTGTTGGTGCTCTCGACAGGAAGGGAGATTTTCCTGGCTAGTATAATGGCTGAATAACATTCTAGCATCTGGTAATTCTTCTTGTCTTTGTTGTTTGATTGGCTGCATTGGGAAGTCTACCTAGAGGTTCTACGTAACAGCTACAACCCAGTTACATCTTGTAGAAAGGGTGATTCGTGAAGTACTGCTCAACTACTTGTCCATTTTGATCCGACCTTCAGCATTGCAGCATTGAAAAAACTCTACAATCAGCGCTTAAGAAGTCCGGTCATAAGTACGTGATGATCGTCTATGTCTTGCTGCTATTGATTCACTTATTCATACTGCTTCTTCTCTCTTCTGCATTGAAAAAAGACGTGAAGGACCTCACGGTCGAACCATCGCTGGATTCTTTAACAAAGAACAAGATGCAGAGCAGCAACGCCATGACCATGTCCAAGAATTCTCCAGCACGTGTCAATGACATTTCAATGATTGACAATCGAGATATTTCCGTGACATCTTCCCACGTGATTCCGATTGAAAGCACTTACCCGAATGACCTCTCTCGAGCCTTTCCTAGAGTCTGTCAAAAAGCAAAAAGTGGTGTGCAACTCTGCCACGCAGTGGCAGTTTTCGTGACGGAGCGTGCAGGACTGGAGAGTAACTATGCTCAAGCACAGCTTAAGCTCGCTCAGTGAGAAAAGAGACTTGTTGTCGACTTATTGAGTTTTTCTGCAGCTTTCTGTGGCTTAATGTTGTGTTGGCTGTTATTCTTGCTTATGCCAAGGAGTGCAGAGGCTGAAGACTGGTCGGAGCATTGTACACAATGCTGGAAAACATTTCGAGAGGCATTAGAGCATCTGGCCCAAGAGCGATGGGCGTTTGCGTCGACAATGCAGACTTCTATTGTACCTGGTGCAAAAACCTTTGCAGCACAGCAGGAAATTCAGGTACAACGACTGATTACAGGTTTGTTGTGTCTGTTTTTGCTTTGACTTTGGATCATGTATGGAAAAGAACTTCATTACGGTTATTGATCTGCTAACTTGTGCTGCTGAAGAGGGGACCAAGATGCGCTGGGCTCAACAACAGATGTCTTCTTCGCTGGACAAAGCAAAAGCAAAATATGACTGCAAGTGCCAGGAAGCGATTGATATGATCGCAACGGTGCGGAAAAGTGACAACATGTCTTCGACAGATACTAACTCGTTGTCATCGGACTCGTCGCCGGGCGAAGTGTCACTCTCGAAGGAACTGACGGACAAACTGGCAGCAGGTGCTGGACAGCTACTGACAAAGATGTGGGATACCACATATGCGTTTGGACGCAATCCGCTAGAACGACAGCGCTCGAAGTTATGCGGTTGTTTTGAAGGTGTCATCGCCGCCGAAAAATATTACCTCCAGACTGTGCAATACACAAATGCGCAGCGTCTTATCTTTGTGCGAAAGATCAACGAGAATTTACATGCTCTACAGCTGACGGAAGAGCAGCGACTCGAATACCTTCGAGATATCCTGATGCGAATGCAAAAAGCATTTATTGACATGTTGTCTCGATCCCAGCAGTTCGTTGAGCAAATGAAAACGAGTGCCAACGAGTTTGATGAAATGGGTAAGCAACTTTTGTTATATAGTGAACCTGGAAAGCCGTGCTGAGCTCTGACGTCTTTGGTTGTAGCTGATATTGAAAAAGGTTTTCAAAGTCTTGGAAGTCAAGAGGAAGTGGATGTCAATCGAGCAGACCTATCGATAAATCCTTTCTACCTTCACATGACGCATATCCAGGCGAAGTCAGATGATGGTCAGCGAATGATTGAAACTATTAACTCAGTCGTGGTAGAGCTCATTGCTAGTGAAAATCGCTTTTTGCAGTCACTGCACAGATTACTGCGAACTCATGAGAATGGTGGTCTTTCTCCGACTACAGATCTCTTTGGCGCATCATCATCCAATACGCACATGAACTTCCTGGCCGATGAAGGTGCAACGATGACGAATGGATGGATAGCGGTAAAGGATCAAACAAATCTTCTCTTGGAAGTTCATCAGGTACGTTACCAGAATCTCTACAGCATGTGCTTCTGTTTTGTTAGCCTCATGATTATGCCTGCTACGTAGGAATTCCAATCGCTACTTGCCGAGCCTGTGTCGCTTATTCTTGACACCATGAAGAGAGAGTACGAGAGCGTCCGCGTTTCAACGCAGGAAAACTTTTTGAAGCTGCACTCAACATTGTGCAATGAGACAGCTGCACACAAAAGGCTTCAGCAGAAACTGGATGCAACATCCCGGGACTCTGCAATAGGCTATTCGCATTTGCCAGGGTCACCACCCGTGAAGGCAAATTCTCACGACATTGAAGTCACTCAAGCCCTGAAAATGCTGAGTACTAATACGGGTTTCTTTAATGAGAAGGAACGGCGATCAGAAACTAAGCTCCGGCAGCTTGCGGAAAAAAATCGTCTGTTGCAAACACAACTTGCCAAAAGCACCAGCTTTCTGCAACAGACATATCAAGCATACGTTCAGGTTCGTTTCCAGATTTTCTTTGTATGGTATGACCAGGACTGATCTCGCACAAATTTAGGAATCCGAGGCGTTCATTTCGACTTACATGGAAAACGAGAGATATCGCCTTCAGGCTGGCAAGAACTCGCTGCAGTCGTTGGCCAAAGCGATTGAGCACATGTTGCGCAGTGGCACATCAGTCGGAAACAAAGCGCTCGTAGAATTTGAAAAAATTGATCCAAGCGAAGATATTGCTGAGTTTATTCGAATGAACCGACAACCGATTAAACGGGTCAAGCATATCGTTGCAAATTACCACGACAACGACATCTTGAAAGTAGCCATACGGGAGTATCTTGTGTCGCTTGACGCTTCGTCATCGACGGCTTCAGAAAATGCGGACAAGTTCCTACGAAGCCCTACCAGCGGCATGTATTCACCAATTTTCAGGAACGATGCTTTACGTGAGAAGAAACTTTCGCGTGCAAGTACTTTACTGGCAGACGATGAGCATGCAATTTTGACAAAGAAGGATAATGCAGGCGGAAGTGTCTCGAGCGAGGATGAAAGTGCAAATTCTGGAACAGAGCAAGATGACAAACTCGTTGAAGCGCAGCCTCTGGAGGATTCTGACTTTCAAAGGCAGTTCAAGGTAATCGATCGCGACATACGTCGAAAACTAGTCGTTGATCAGCATCACGGCCGCTGACTATTCCTTTATGTCGTTTCTACGTTGAAGCTGGATTCGCCTGAGCAGGTCGTCGAAAGTTTTTCATGTGCTCTATTCCTCTCCAACTTTCCGTTCCATGGACGATTATACCTGACGAGGAACCGAATGTGCTTTTCCGGGTGGAGGGACACAATATTTGTATGTTGCGTTCCCTGAAAGTAGGGTGAGACCAAAAGTGATGGGATGTAACTCACTTGGTTGTTAATGATGGCAGGTAGCTTTGTTCTCAGAGATTACTGCAATGGGAAAAAAGAACACAGCACTGATCGTTCCCAACGCGATTGAGGTCTATATTGGTTATACTTGTATTCTGCATTATTTGAAACTTGGTGCTTACACTTGATGCATTGTTCAATGTAGATCACTGTGAAAGGAGAGAAAGTGTTTTTCACGTCGTTTATATTTCGGTAAGCTCATCTTTGATCAATCCTGACTAACCCACGGTGTGCTTTCTCACTACTTTGTTTGTGTATTCTATAGTGATGAATGCTTTCATAGCATTCAACAGTTGCGCTCCATCAAGAAAAAAGCTGCAACGCTTTTGTCAGATACAACAAAGCAACCGTATACAGAGTCACTAGATGCTGACAGCGAATTTGTGACTGGCAACGAGTCAAGACGACAAAGGAGGTGCAATGATGTAGTTGCTGTAGCTCCAAGTCGTAAACGGTCCTCGCTTCCCGACGTCAAGAATATTGACTACAAGTTCATTGACATCGCAGACGAAACAGCTACTGAAGACCGCCGCGATCCATCGCTACATCTTTCGGATTCTATGACATCGAAAGCTCCACTTGTGATCCCAGACAAAGATATTTTGCTCGACGAATACGATTTACTGGTAGACGAAGAAGTTGCGCTCAGGTATGAAAGCCTACAGAAGTCATTGCTGGCCAAGCTAGTACTGGACTAACTTGTTTTGTTTGTACAGCGTCGATACTGCTTTCTTGACATTATGGATTGAGTCTGACACTCTCTTTCGTAATCTACTCGTTGCTGCCGGCTCAACGGGTATCTCATTGCCTCCTTGGAAAAAGAAAGCTGTTGTGTATACAGCGGTGAACAAACCGGACACGTTTGATGCTTCTCGGTTGGTTTCGTATACCCACAACAAAAAGTATATGATAGGACCCAGTGTCATTCCGACATCTCAAACTCAACGCTATGCGTACACACCCGGCAGTCGCCTCATTGTGAGCACAACGACGTGCGTTTCCGATGTACCATACTGCGACTATTTTCGCGTTGAACAGCGATGGGTCTTTAGTGCTACGCAAAAGTCTGGTGTGAGCTTAGCACAGGTGGGGCTTCGTGTGCAATGGTTGAAAAATACGTGGTTGAAGAAGCAGGTAAGGCAAAACATCTCACCTTGTTCCAGTGCGTGCGACTACTTTATCGTTACAATGTTACACAATGTAGATTGAGAGTGCCGCTATCTCCGAAGCTAAGGATGCCGTGAAAGCATGATTCGATGCAGCTCTCGATGCAACCAACGAGCATGTATCAAATGAACGCAATGCCGGTTCCATTTCGGAATCTTCTGATTCCGCGATGGTAGACTCATCGCTGTCTGAACAAACACAAGAAGGGCGCTTTTCGAAGTTGTCACCCCAAGATGCTTCCCGTGCAAGATCGCCATCGGCTGTGCGGGTTCATGCTGAGTTCGCGTCGATCACCGATTTGCCGGCAGAACTTGATTTAACTCTTCAAAGGGCTATCATTGTCTGTGTGCTAGTGTTCGTCTACACGATGTATCGGATGTGTGTTGCAATGGACCAAATGCAAGCATTGGCACAAGAATCAATGATTCAGCAACGCCAACAATATGAATTGCTGAAGAAAGTTTTGGATAAGTTTGGAAGCAGATAAACAAGAGAGTATACGAAGTTGTTGCTGACAAGAGCATGCTCTATTGAGTCGCATAGCCTTGTATGTTAAAAGAGAAGGACTGATCCAATTACATACGCTTAGTGGCCCTAGTTATCCAACAAAACGAATTGAGATTGGACAAACATTTCTGTAAAGAATATAGCGCACCAGCACTCTACCCTCAAGTGTACTCGGTGTATAACTGCAACATCTATAACAAGCTTTGTTTCAACAATTAGGAAGTGAAGTAGCCTAAGAATAACGATATTGAAAATGAGTCGATATGTTGCTGCCTATCTTGAAGTGAAGGCTCCTCTCACTCGTCATCGCTATCTGCTTCTTCCTCTTCGTCATCAAAGTGGCCTTTGCGACGATTCCGATTCACGTGCATGTGGGCAAACCCGTCTTCCACCATCGTAAGTCCCTTTGAGGACGAAGCTGTAGACACCTGAGAAACTTGTTCATCAGCAACTTCGTTTTCTTCTCCATCCTTCTGCTCGTCCTCGTCACCATCAGTATCTACGTGCGTCCACGCCTGCTTAGTAGACGACACATCAAATTCCACAGGCCTAACAAAAACAAAACAAATTAATTGCCACATTTTACCCGACAAATCAAGACTAAAATTATGTACACTACCGTACCAGAGATCCTTTTGCTTGAGGTTTTTGATCTGATCCTTGTATAAAATGTGCACTACAATGGACGTTACGGCGCCCTTCTTGCCCGTAGCAGTTGTGGCTTCTCCTCCATCACCCTCCCCGACAATTAAAAAATCACCTATAAAAATAAAATAATAATAATTAAAAAATAAAAACAAAATAATGTCATCAACTTATTGCCCATTGCAAAAAAAAAAAAAAACTCGTGGACTTTATAATATCACTCTAAAAATTCTTCCAAAATTTAAACTTTTACCTCGTTTCACCCAAATGAGTTTGCGGAATTTAGTTGGTAACATTGTTACCGATTGAATTCCTTGGGCGTCGACCACCTACGAATTACTTAAAACTTAGCTCCACAAGACCAAAAAAGTTACACCTGCAGTCTGCAGCGTACCTCGAACAAGTTGGTGCCTCGTAGTGCCGTGACGCGAACAATGAGCTCGTTTTCCTTAGGCTCTGGATCGCCATATAACACACGCTTGGTCACACCCTTACGATACGCACTCTTTCGTCCGCTGCCTGACATGATCGTTATGTGGGAGCTAAAAAGCTAAAAAAAATAGATACAATAACTGCTTTCTGAAGTAACGATAAGGTGGTGTTTGTTAAAATGAATAAACGTTTTTACAACTGACAGCTTTTAGTTCGTTGTTTTTATTCCCATCAGCACTTCGTTTTTATTTTCCAAAGAGCTACGATGGCTGGACGAGGACGTGGACGTGCCAATACTTTGCCTGCATGGATGACCAAGCAGGGCATTGACGCACCACCTCCTGCTGGACCTGCACCGGGATCGCGTCCGCCTCCATGTGCAGGCGCAGGACCTCCACCTCCACCGCGTAATGGACAGTTCGATGACGCCCCCGAGCCCGCGCCTCGCCCGCCAATGATACGGAACAATATTCGCGAATCTTCAGGTGGGAAGCGGCATTCGCGCTCCCGAGAACGCGGAAATGAACGTAATGGCGGTGATGTTAGAGGCCCGCCGCCGATACGAGAGCGGTCGCGTTCACGGAGCCGAGGTATTGGACACCACCGTGATCGCGACTACGGAGTCGATCGACGTCGGGAAGAGTCGTACCGACGTGGACGGTCTCGGGAACCGTCTCGTGAACCGTCTCGTGGACGTTCGCGTTCCCGTGAGCGTCGGGACCATCGTGGAGACTCGAGACGTGGAGGCGGTGACCGCTATGAAGACCGGGGCTACTCGGCGCGCGGACCGAGAAACGACGACTATCGTCGTACTGATGGACGTCCTTTGCGCAGGGATGAAGAAGCGGTTGAGCGTGGCTACCGACGACCTTCATCCAATGGACATGACGACCGTACGTCCCGCAGATATGCAGCGGATTATCAGCCGTAGACGGCGGTGGTCCACCCATTGTTCGTTCCTGATGCTACAAATGCAAGTTTTAATCAATGCACGGGAGAAGAGTCGACTGGGAGCACTCGCTTTGAGATGCATGTCCGAAAGGAGATGGGGTATTATAGTAGCAAGAGGCTTGCGATGCATTACCAGAGCGAGTAAAATTACACTCTCATTTGTATCAAGAGCTTCGTCAAACTGCTTGCACTCTGCTTTGCGTTGTTCTTTTATCGTTTTCTATCTGCAGCTTGCACGTAAGTGACCAAGTGGAGCCCTGTTGCTGTAACGTCGTTGCCTGGTTTATTCATGTCGCCAACCTGGCACAGCTATTGAAATGTGACGAGACAGGAGAACGCCTGTCAAGAAAGCTGAAGCCATTTTGAATGCGTGAAGCAACTGCCCTCGGCAGCCAGAGCTGTTTCCGAAAAATGTGGCGAAACAAATGCCCAGCGCTACTCGTTAAAGACACAATCCACGGCTGTCAAAAGTCCGGTGGGTGGCCAGCTATTCTACCATGTTCAGGATCATCAAACGACCACAAGCGAGCAAAACCACTTACTGCTTGCGAAGCAACGACCACAACCATCAGAGGGATTACTGCAGCAAAAAAAAACGCCAGTCGACCAACGGAACCGAATATATATCCACTGCGTCTATCGACGTGGAAGATCCCACAGACTCAAACAATGCAGCTACACCTAAGCATAGGTAAGCTTCAAGGAACTAGGCTGATTTTGTGAAACACACGTCCAACAACGATGTCTCAGTGGCATCGCTACTTCGAGCGCTGCACTTTACGACGCTTGCTCGGCGATCAGGCATTGATCTACCGCTACCATTCGCACGTGGCGCTACCACCATCATGAAAGCACCCGCTCCCTCAGACGACAAATGTACATCAGAGTTATAATAAGCCACGAGATCGCCACCTTCCTCACAAAGCTCTCAAGCTTAACACGGTACGGTATACGAAATGAAGTAGGTATACGAAATGGACATCTGCGGTAGCTGCGTTGCCATGACACGACGTACAAACTCGTTGCTACGTCATGTGCGATCAGCTAATGGCGCGTGTACCAATATAGTCAACATCGACAGCTCATAATTGAGACCGAGCAGAGTCTACTGTCTACTCTTGAAGTGTGGCCAAGCCGATTTTTATGACAAGCTGAAAAACTGCTCGAGCCGTCATCGCTTCTTCCAAATCAGTCCGCTGCATTCCGCTTTCATTCCGAGACGATCGGTGCGAGACTGCAGCAAGCTGCGAGCGTCACGGCAGCAACGGTAAGGATGTTCTTGAGCTGTATAACTTGTCAGCGAATTCTTCATCCTCCCGCTCAACCCTTATTCAATTCGTTAATCGCGTAGCCACGATAGTATAGCTTCCCATCTGCAATATTGCACGTTCTCCATGGATTGCATCTTGCCTATTAGTTCATCCTGGTCTTGTTTCCGACAGTACAGGAGTAATGTACGAAAAGGCCATGACCTGAACTTCCAAAATACCGCTGGGTGTTCAAGCGCATTTCCGGACGGTTGCGCTGACTCACCAGTAATTGTATAACTTCAGGTCACTACTCATCTCAGCTTTACTGTTACCGTCTGAACGCTGATTCTCGTGTCCCACGAACGTGGCTAGTCACTAACGCAGCACTCCACGGATGACCACGACCACCACCGGTGGACAGATTATCGTACTAGCACCGATGTACAAGTTGTAGCTAAAAGACACGGAAAGAAAAGATACCCACATGCTTTATTGAGAAAAGCTCACCGAAAAAGCACGAAAGGATCAATATAGTTCCCTCGCATGCAGACTTTGTACCAGTTGCGTCCCTTTCATTCTTGTAAAATTCAGCAATTGGAGCCGTGTCTGTCATCTGTCGCGACGTCGTCATACACCACTAAGCAAGCTCCCGCAGCGCATACTTTCCTTCATCCATATACTCGACGGCCACCGTTCGGTTTGAAAACCCGCGACCATGCAGTTCCGTGGCTGCACCCTGGGCCGCCTGCACATCGCCAAACTCAACAAAGACCTTACCGACGGCGCTGGGGATACCGTCACGCGGGCGCGGAAGCAAAAGCGATGGCACGGTACCAAAGCGTTCGCACTCACCCTTTATGTCATCTAAAATGTCAGCATATTCTTCCTCGTCCTCAAGCTCTTCCGGTGTCACCATGTTGAGCAGTACGATGACACGAGAGGGGGTGCCCAGCGGCACACTCGGTATACCTGCCATGGTCATAGCCTGTATCGCAGCACGCGATGGATCTAGACCCAACTCCAAGCCCGTGTTCACTGTACCTGCAGCACTGGCGACAGCCTTAGCATTTTCTTGCGACATTGCTCGGCGTACCGTAAGCGTTTTGTCACCAAGTCGCATGTCGTTCAGCCCGATGCATGCCGCATCTGTCACATTGATATCCATGTACTCGCAAAACCCATAGCCCTTCGACAGGTTGGAGCTAAGCTCTTTGACAAGATGAAATGACCGCAGCGGACCGAATGCTTGCAGCAACTCTTTCACCTGCTCCTCGTTGAGGTGGTATGGTAGACCGCCGATAAAAATCTTACCTGGACCATCGCTCACTGTCGTAGACACAATGCCCAGAGCTGCCAAATTAAGCTCTGGAATCGGTCCTAGATCCTTCGGAACGGTAGCCGGATTGTAGTCATTTGGCCGGCGGATCTTCAGCGGTTGACCGTTGTACGATACGCCGTCAAGGTTCATGCAGGCCGTAGTAAGCTCAATAGTGCGCAGTTCCACAAAAGCAAAGTGACGCTCGCGATTAATGTAGACAGACACAACGGAGCCACCTTCCTGCTTCTCACCCAGCGCGCGGTCAATGACATCATTAAAGAACACAGTGATCTCTGACTCCGAGATTTCGCCAATACCACCAACATACAGACGGCGTGCATGACGTGTCTGCTGAGACTGGCCGGAGAACGCGTATGCCGGGCTGGCCTGATGCGAATGGGAATACATCGGTTGCGCCTGTGGGGCATTCTAAACAATGACCAAAACAAACAAGTTAGCGGAGATACGAGTGTTATCGCGCTCGAATCCAGCGCTTCTCCAGGGCATTGCACAACTACGAAGCAAGCACCACGATGGACAGACAACGGACAACGAAATACACAACGACATCGTGTCAGCCGTTGTATCTCTCCGTTTTGTTGTTTGCCGTCCTCCATGTGCTTCACACATGAGGCATATAAGGCTGAAGGATAAGAGAAACAGTTGACTCACCCCAATTGGCACCGTTGAGGTCTGCGGAGCTCCGAAAGATGCTGGGCCGACGGATCCGGACAGTGCCGCCATGTTCTGCTGCAGAATCGCCTGCGCCGCATAGGCAGCGGCGTTCTCCTCCGTTACTCCTGGTGGACGCACGTCAAAGTTGGATTTCTTGCGACGACGAACCACACGCGACGACGAGCGTGAGCGACTGCGTTTGGACGAGCGCCGCTCCGAACGATCACGAGACCGATGGCGTTCGCGATCTCGGCTGCGACTGCGACGGTCACGAGATGAGCGATGACGCGTCGAGGGTCGTTCCTTACTGCGACTGCGGTCTCGTCGATGCGATGAGCGCGAGTGACTGCGACGACTGCTGCGATGCGAACTGCGACGTCGGCCGTCGTCCGCAGTATGGACGCTACTGCCATTCATGACTGCCTGTAATGTAGTACGTGAGTTAGCACAATTGGATTGAATCAGTACAGAGACAATGGTAGAGCCTTCCGAACCGGAGCATCGACGAACTGTGACGGCGCTGATGGAGGCATTTGTGGGTGTTGTGACGGAAAAGGAAGAGCGTACGCACCGCCATGAGACAAAGGCGCAATACTATCTGGTGCGGGTTCTTCAGCCTGCTGTTTCTTCATCCATGCAGGCAACGTGAGCTCTCGTCCACGGCCGGCCATGGTCTTGCAAGTTTATGCGGCGATCGATGTGCTTGCTGCTTGGCACGTCCAGTACTGGTCGCCCCTCAGTTTAGACCCTTTCAAACATGTTCCTGCGAACAATTCGTCTTGTGCTTATATGTATAAGTGTTTGTAGAGGATATTGTTTCTTTGAGATTATAATTGGCTATGCATTGATTTTATTTGCAATAAATTAGGAGAAACATTCGTGTTCAAGAGGTTCAACCCTGCGATTTGTTGGATCGCTGGCTGGCTCCCTACGTAATCTCAAAACAAAGGAGAAGATTGTGCGAAATCCTGCGCTTGCAGCCGATAAAAGTCAGCACAAGTGAGCGCACAGTGTCCAAGAGGGTGCGATCCGTGTGCTTCCACTACGCCGCCGACAAGATTACAGCTAGGTTATGCGCGTATTTCGTGCCAACACATCATTTAGGGATGTCTTCACAAGGAAAACGCTCTACTGGTCAAGACGCCAACGTGTGTTCTAACGCAGTCAGCGAGAACACGACCAAGGCGCAACACCACGAGTTTAAGCGCTTCCACAGTGAGACCATTTTTTGCGTCCAATTCCTGGAGCAGCAATTTGTGGGGCCATGATAAGACGGCGTTGCACAAGTACGACAAACATACGCAATGCGATCCTCATCTGTATGTGCTTCATTAATAGACGAGTGTCGCAACAGATGATATAATCAAAAGTATTAGTTCCTTGAAAAAGCCCTTCGTTTATTCGCTTACAGCGGGAATACCAAAAGAGCTTGGAGCTTGAATACATTCACTAGCAAGAGACCTAACAGACGTTGAGTTGAGTCTTCACTTCCAATGTACACGGCAAACATCTGGATGACGACAACAGACGATGACGCTTAGTAGTCCTCATCTCCGCCGAACATGTCCATACCGCCACCCATGTCGACTTCCTCTTCCTCCTCGACAACCTTCTCCTCTACCTTAGCGGCAGCGGCTCCAGCGGGTGCAGCTCCAGCAGCAGGGGCAGCACCTGAAGTGAATAATGTTAATATTATTGCAACTTTAGACTGCGAAGTCATCGAATGAACAACTCTTTACGTACCAGCCGAGGGACCAGCCAAGAACTTCTCAACGTCCAGGCCACGGCCCAGCAGGTCCGCGAACAGCGGTGCAACGTGCGCAGACACGTCGTTGCCCGAAGCCTCGAAAGTCTTGGTCAGAGCGTCAGCTGTGACCTCAACGCCGCCATCAAAGAGAGCCAGGACGGCGAGGGAGGCGGCGAACTCGTCGCGCTCGGTCTTGCTAAGATCAGCGAAGGACATGATGCGTCAGGAAAGATAGAACTGAATCGGTTTAAGCTGATGAGCGGAAGTCAGTCTGCCAACCAATTGAAGGTGGTTTGGAGGTGTAAATGACCGCAAATGACTGGTTCTACGAGGGCGACAGGATATTAGCCAATATAATCACGAGAAGAATTATGTTGCGCGAACGTGAATTATTTTGTGCTATTGTAATTGTTAACTTATAGCACTTCTTTTGCAGATCTGAGAAGTTTGACTTCTGAGAAGGGGTAAAAATGATCCTTATTTTGGGTCTAACGTGGGAAAGGAGAGGTACCCAAACTTAGGTGCTGACTTCATGAGCAGGACTAAAGCTACAATCTGTCTTTGCTACACGATTTAAAAGTTTAAAATGAGAAAGGACGCACTAGGTAGAGTTTGCAGAACAGCTTAGGGGTTCAATGCAGCCATTGAAAAGAGGAAGATGTACTGATATTGGTAGGAGTTGTCGCTTATTCCGGAACGTTTACGTCGTTGTTATACCGACAACAAGCTGTATATAACTCGGTAGCTGTGCTTCTTTATCCATGCTATGACATGAATATCGTTGTTTGGGTCTCTAGGGCCAGAGCACCAGTTTGAGTTTGGCCTGTCCAGCTTGAGCATTGTAACGACAAGGTGGCCCATGTTTATCGACGAGGATGTACAGTCACCATTGTGCGCGCTGATTATTGCACTGATGCGTGTGAGTACGACAAAGACCACCGAATACTAACGTTTGCCCTCAACAAGTGTAATGTCTTGGGTGCATTCAAAAAGGGTTACGCCTCTGATCAAGAATGTGTGTACACGATGCCGCTGCTCATCCTCTAAGTATATTGAAGGTTTGACTCTGGCAGCTAGTTTGCCCCTTACGATTACGTAAGGTCATAATGCAATGGGCAAGTTGTGCCGCCACTTGTTTCTTGCCCCAAGTTCCGGTGGTGTAACAGTAGTCGCAGAGTTGGTGAAAGTTGTGGCCATTGATATTTTGCATCGTCTTCAACCGAACTTCGATATGGAGGTGGCACAAATTCGCAATATAGTGCGATGGGATGCGTCAATGAATACGCTACCGCTGTCAAGAGTTGATATACTTTAGCGACCCGATGTCTACCATCTCTCGCATCTTGATAGTGCGTAGGCACTAAAAGGTGTCGGCTTTGAGCATCCGAGCACTACTCGCAACCAACAAACGGTACACGAGTCTTTCATTTATTGGTTTCGTTGCGTCAGTTGAATCACTACATTTTTGTATTCTAATCAGAATGGAGTGGATATCCACAAGTTGTGCCTCAAAGACGCTAAAGGACGCAAATGAAAGCTGGCGGAATCGGATACCATGTGCTGTCTCACTGGTACCATCGCTACTCCTCCGACCGTTGAAAAGAACTGAAAACGAGTCAATGCAGCTCGTACTCGTGCAAAATCTACAGTACAGAAACAAGGTGACGTCGTCCTGCCATTTCGAATTGTTGAAAGATATCGAAACCAGTTAGGTGAATTTTGTTGATGATTTGTTATTGTTTGCATCGTGCGACAAGGTGCTCCTAGTACAGTACGTAGTGATAGAAAAAGTTTTGCGTTATTCATTTCGTCTAAAAAAATAGCCTAAAATGATACTTTGAGCTCTTTTTGCAAGGCAATAAAACGGGTGGAACCGATCTTGAAAGCGATATTTACTTGTTTTGTTTAATTGGACAGTCTCACTTAAGCATTGCATTGCCATCGTCCAACACATCACATTTGCGATTTTGCAGTGACAACAATACATTCTTTCTAAAGGCCCCAACCCTCGGCTTTCCCCTCGACTAGTTCAGACACTTTCATTATCTCATTTTAACCACGTCATCATGGAGTGGCAAACGAATTGTCTCGAGTGCGATGAAGTGCTCGATGATGATGACCTTGTAACCACACAAGAGTCCGAGACGGACGACGTGCTCAGTCTCCTCGTCTCTGACGTGCCCTGGACGGCTGAACTTTCGTTTGAGGAACAAAATGTACGTTTCTTTCCCCCCCCCCTCTCCCTCCCCCTTCCTCTCCCTCTCTCTCTCCATCTATTGACGATACTTTCTTATTGTCATTATAATTCCATAGCTAGTGGCATTAAAAGACCGAGATGTGAATCGAGTGTACCGTACAATGTTACGTCAAGAACTTGTTGGACGACCAGACTTTTCCAAGCAATATGAATATCTCAAATATCGTCGTGTACTTGTGGACTGGATGGTTGAAGTGGGGGAGACGCATTTACGTATGCGAAAGGAGCACGTGCACGCTGCTGTGGGGTATTTAGAAAAGATGCTGGTTTGTGACGGACCATTGCCTCGTAAAGATCGGTTCCAGCTGGTGGCACTCAGCTGTCTACGAATGGCACTCAAGTATCTAGGCACTGACGAGGAACTACCACCCATGGTCGAGTTCTGGGAGATGGGAAACCGAATGTATTCTTTCCACGAGATCAACAACGCCGAGGCAGACATTTTCCAAAAGTACGTGAGGACTTGTGTTTATAGTTTCGATATGCTGTTTGTTTTCATCATGCTGTATCCAAACGGCATTGATGTAGTAGTTGTTTTTTTGTATACGTGGACATTTTTTCAGTGTTTCGAATGCCGTTCTCATGCAAATTTGCTTGCTTTGGTGTATTGCGCAGGTTGGGCTGGAGACTTACGGGGGTGACACCGCTGCACTTCCTGCAATATTATATGGACCAGACTGTACTGTTTGCCGACGATCAAGTGCTGGGATCCGAGCTCGTGGATGAAGCACATGGATATTACTGCAAGTATGCCGAGTTCTTCGTGGATCTTGTGTTGCAGGAGTATGCGTTACAGGTGTATCGACCATCAGTCGTAGCTTCGGCCATCCTGGTGGCATCCCGCAAGGCACTGGGCGTCACTCCACTTTGGAGGGACGAATTGTCGGTGCTCACTGGCTACGATGAGAAGCAGGTGACGCCGTGCTTTCAAGCAGTCTGGGAACACTTTGAAGCGGCCTTTGGTCCTTGGAACAAGAAGTACGAGCGGGATGACTCCCCTTCCAGCGTGGCTGACTTCTGATCTGCAGTGATTGCTCCGATGTTCGTCTTGATGTCTTCAAAAGCGCGACGACATCGAAATGTACAGGGCAAGTAGTTGTTAGGGCGTAGTCAAGTATTTATGTCGCAGCCGGCTTCTCACTGCTGCGTGGTTGAACTTGCTTCGACACAAGTTCGACCGTCGCACCAGAAGAGACTGGCGCTAGCGTACGTGTGATGTCCCCTCCATGCGTCATTAGTAGCATTTGGGCATTCATCGATTACTAAGTAAGGAAAAGGCGATTAAGGTTGCATGCAGTCTCAAACCTATCTCGTAAAGCAGTTAACATGGTAGAATATCCATTCAACATGGTGAAATACCCATCCAAAACGTCGGCTTCAATGTAATTTGACATTCGACGTGATGGCTGCTAAGCCTACGAAGAACCATTGTCTATCATGCGTTAATTATATTTGAAGATAAGAGCTGAACATCGCTAGATCCAATTTTTAGTTGATAGTCAGGACCACTGCAGTGAGCGACTAGAATCGCCAATTTCACCACCTTTTACATGATCCTTCACCTTCACGTCGTAGTAACCAACACCTGGACTCTCACTCTTGGTAATGAACGAGTCACGCGAGATCCGTGCACGCGACATTACGGCTCCACGGGATGACAGTGAAGTGGACCCAGCCTCCGAAGCACTTGTTGTGCTCGTTGCATACTTCTGCGGCATGTAATTGTACCGTTTGCTCAGGTTCCGAAGCGTGGTGCCGCGTGGGGAGTTCTTTCCTCCTCGACGAGCAGATGTGTTCGATGAGTTCGACGTGTAAGACGATACTGACACGTTGTCAGCATTTGCAATAGCCATACGCGCACTGCGCGCACGCATATTCGCAGAACGAGCTACAGGCATGGATTGCGCTGAATATCCTGAGATCGATGACACATTTGATGAAGTGTAGGCCCCCGTGCCACGTTGAGGAAGCCCAGCTTTCTGGTCCATGGCCTCCAGAACCTCAGGCGTTAGCCGAAACTTGGACCCACCTTTGTTCTTTGAAGTTGCTGCCGTACGATGCAAATAGGCCGTGCCATTCTGCACGCACTGCTGGTTTTGTTGCTGCTGCTGTTGACGAAGCACCGTAGTACCGCCTGATTCACCACGGAGAGCTAGCAGCTTTTCAGAGCAAGATTCAAGCTGACGCGCGATATGCTTGGCTTCTTCGTGCTTGCGCAGCAGTGCTACCTTAAGATGCTCAATTTCCTCGACAAGCTCAGCTTCAACAGTACAAAAAGCCTCATCCTTTTGTCGTCCAGGATGTTGGTTCTGCTCGTGCAATTTGCCACTCTTCTGGCGAGTATCGATACCCTGCTGTTGAACAGAATCGCCAGTTTTCTTCTTTCCTCGTCCGCTACTACGACTATTTCGACTGCGTCCACTTCCGTTGCTTCCATTGCTCCGCACACTGCGGTGATCAGCAGGTCCTCTGCGACGTCCTCCCTGTTGATAAACCAGCAGTATGGCCGACGATGCTTCAGACACTCGTTGTTCCTGCGTCGTATCAGGCGACAGCAACGAAGACACTATCTCCTCGCGTCCTTGGAAGTGGATATCCAACGGTAGCTTCGCGTTCTTAATGAGGTCGTGCACCTGACGAAGTCCCATATCCTGTAGTGGCGTTCCCGCAATGCTCACGATAGTCACACCTGGTGCCAATCGCGGAAAATGCGTCGCTGCACTCTTGGGATAAATGGTTCCTATCTCGGTAGTGTTATCATTTCCACGTTTCATCGTGAATCCCAATGGGAGCTTGTGAAACAACACACAGAACTCACTCGTCTCACCGTTAATATCCACTGTACAGTCTCTACTAGGAGCAACGGAAGACTTTACATCGCCTTGAACACTAGAAAGAGCAGGCAGAGTAACACCCAGCTCTAGCTCGTCACCTCTCGCACAACACTCGCTAATTGGTGTTCCAGCCACCAGAAATTCCTGCTTCTTGCGATGGAATACCACGTTGCATTCAGGTACTTCACTATCCGTAAAGGTGGCGTGATAGACTTCAGCTGCCGTTCCGAGGATCGCTTCACACGGCCATTGGGGGTTCACGACGCAGTGCAAAGAGACGCCTATAATGTTGGCAGTGACAAAAAACTCATCGCCATTTCTCAGCTCCTGCAACGTCTTTTCAACTGCAATTGACGCAGATGCAGATGGTAGTACGTCCCCTTGTAGGGCCATGGGAAGAGCAGGAGACTACAGAGACGAGATACGGTAGTAGGGCAATGTACAGGAAGCAGGTGGGATCTCCTTGATGTCGAGCAGCTCTTCTTTCAAATGACCAGCCACTTGACTACAATAATGACCAATGACAAGACGCAGACAGTCAAACATAACACTATTGTAGCCATCCTCTAGCGACATATGATACTTAGAGCAGTTTTCGAAATGACAATACATCAAAGCATGTGTCACAAACACGATCAGGTTTGAGGACTTGAAACTTGGGAATGGCAATCTTATGGCTCGAGCAATTGTAGCAGACAGTGCGACCACAATGACGGCAACGGTGTTTGCGCATTGCAAGTCGGAAAGTTGTATGGCATGATGAACACTCGGTCGTCTGCTCGTCACCGATCCATTCGGGTGGGCGTGACAGGTTGCGCAGCACTGGCACGAGCATCGCACCTTGGTTTATGCTTTCCAAAAGATCCACCACGCTACGACCTGCTGCATCGAGCAAGTGTACAAAGGCACCTGCACTTACCAATGTAACTGCTACGTCTTGACTTCCTCGACCAACCACCAGATGCAGTGCTGTACTACCGTCTAAACTCTGCGCGTGGATATTTACACCGTGTTCAATCTATACAGCCACACAACAAGCCAGGTTAATAAACAAACGTTCAGAATAATGTCAACGGCGCTAGACACACAACGTACAAATGAGTTGAGAAGAGAGGCTGGTCCGCTCTGATGTGAACAGAATAAATGCAGCGGAGTGTAACCAAACCAGTTCGCTTTGTTGGGGTCCGCACCATTTTCCAAAAGGAGTTGCAGCATCTTTTGACATCGCTCCGGTGGCGACATTGCAGCGAGATGAAGTGCAGTATTGCCTTTTACGTCTTCTTGATTGATGTTAAACCCACTCACTTCGTCGAGTTCGTCTACGTCTTCACCACCAATACCACTGCCAGTCTGATTTACCAGTCGTTGAGATGTGTCGGACTGAGACTCATCCGTCGTCTCATTGCTCTCTCTGCTGCGATCAGTGCTTGATGTCACCATCTTACCATTTACACCGCCATTTTCGTGAAGCAGAACAAGGGTGACCGCCGTTTGCCCATGAGCAGCTGCATGATGGAAGGCATTCTGGCCTTGATCATCAACAATATCTTGATCTGCACCATGACGGATCAAATAAGCAACTACAGCAACGTCTCCTCGCGCAGCAGCAATATGCAATGGTGTCCGTCCTCGCCGGTTTGGAATGTTGGCATTTGTTTGAAAAGCGCTGTTCAACAAGACTTCAACCGTCTCGATGTTTGCCGCATAGTGTAGCGCAGTATTTCCTTCCTCATCAGGTAAATTTGCTGCTGCATTGTGCTGTAGCAGCAGCTCCACCACCGCGCTATGGCCCTTTCGACTGGCGATATGCAGAGGTGTTTGTTTGTATCCAAATTCGGCTGTAATCTCCTTGTCTCCATCTTTCAATTGCGAGATCAAGTTTACATCGGCAAAGTTTTGCTCGATCAAGATCTCGCAGTGCTGCACATTGCCACTCGCGCTTGCTAAGAAAATCAACGGAACCGTATCAGTGAGGAGGAAGAATGGTGCACTTTCATCGACCAGAAGTCGACGAATGATCGCGTTGTTACCAGTTTGGAGTGCTACAACGAGCGGCAAGTCAGTCTCATCATTTCCAACTCGATTCAAAGGTTCTCCAAGTCGCAGCAGCTCATTCACTACACGACCAAGTTGGTATCGGACTGCCACGACAAGTGGCGTATCTGATCGCAATCGCAAGATCTCGCACAACCGCTCTGTTGAGCACTGTCCACCGGTTTCGCTCTGTATTAGCTCTCCGAACGCCACTTCTTCCATCAGTTGGAGTTGCTGCACGCACACATTCTGCAGTTCATGTACCGCTATCGTGCATCTAGACAGCATCATAGCATTGGTCTCTTCTTCAGCACCTGTTTGTCGTCCATTCTGCAACGACGGTGGAGTCAGCGTTGTTATGTCCGACTCAACTTTTCTTCGTCGAGCGGTCAGTGGATTCGTGGACAACACCGTGTCCATAAATACTAATACATCCAGTGTCTTCTTCTGCAAACATCGTGCCTTGTTGTCATCATCATTCTCTCCACTTTCTTCTTCTTCTTCTTCTTCCATCTCCTCTTCAACGACCAAAAAGGCCATGATCCTCTTGACACAAATATCTACAAGCGATGGAACCAAGTATACAAAGGCTGCACGCAACAGCTGCAACCAGAACTCATCTCGATCCTGCTGCTTTTTGTCATCTCGATCCTCTGTACCCAACTCGTTTGTATACAAAAACCTCAGCAGCGAGTAAAACACGCAGTAGGGCGTATCCTGCACGTGAATCTTAAGAGGAAAACGTACTTGACCTGGTACTTGACTGCTCTTGGATCGTTGTAGAGCAAACTGAAATGCACCACTGCGCAGCGACAGAATGAGACGATGTGCAGGAATCAGATGATCTTCTCCAGCAATGGAATTCCTGTATTTATCTCCACTAGTCACAGTAGAACCATCACTCCTCACAGAATCAGACGTGAAGATAAACAGCACGTCACTTAAATAATTATTCGCAAATAACTTGTTCACCTGTAGCAAGTCTGATACCAAGTCTTTCTCCTCTTTCATTATCAAAAAAAACTCTGATACTTTTGATCAAGAAGATGTATACAAGATGTATACAAGATGTATACAGTGGCGATACACGTACCCTTTTTTATAAAAATGGGTAAATTAATTGCAATTATTATAGTGATGTCATTTTCCAACCAGTAACAAAAGAGAGAGATCGAATCTATGGCAGAGCCTACTATGCCCCTACTGCGTCAGTCGCTCGAGGCGACGCTGTCTCCATTTGCAGAGACCCGCAAGAATGCTGAAGTGCATTTCAACACTCTATCCACTCAGCCCAATTACGTGTTACTCTTAGTTCAAGTTCTAGAGAGCTCGAGCGAGAAACAAGACGTGCGTCTGGCAGCTGCATTGCTGTTTAAGAACTTTATTAAGCACAATTGGGATCCCGAGAAAGAGGGGTGTGTGCCCGTAAATGAGAAGAATCTGGTGAAGCAGCATCTAGTGGAGCTCATGTGTCGGATGCCTGAGACGCTGCAAAAACAGCTCATTGAAGCCCTCACGACCATCGGAGAGTATGACTTTCCAGCTCAATGGACGGATCTGTTGGCTCAATTAGTTCAGAAGCTACAGACGGAGAAGGACTGGCAGGTACGCAACGGTGTGCTTATGACGGCCAATACCATCTTTAAACGCTTCCGGAACGTCTTCAAGTCGGACGATCTCTTTCGTGAACTTAAACACTGTCTCGAAGTCTTTCAGGAGCCACTGCTCTTGTTTTTCAAGGAGACTGGTGTAGCACTACGTACACCGGGGACTCCTGTAGCTCAACAAGTGCAAATGCTTGCAGCCTTGAGATACATGAGTCGGATCTTCTACTCGCTCAATTGGCAGGACCTGCCAGAATACTTTGAAGACCATATCTCAGAGTGGATGGGGGAATTCTTGACGTACTTTAGCTATGAGAACTCGGCACAGGTGGATACGGACAATGAGGAGGAACCCAGTCCGATTGATCGACTACTGGTGGCTATTGTCGAGAATATCAATCTGTATGCGGAGAAGTATGATGAAGAGTTTAAACCTTTTCTGCAAAAGTTTACCGAAGTGATCTGGAATCTACTCGCAAATCGCATTACATTGTTCCCGAAACATGATGAACTGGCTGCCAAGTGCATGAAGTTCCTCACGTCGGTGGCATCGCGGTCATTCCACCGTGCGCTCTTTGAATCTCCTCAAGTGCTGACGGAGTTGTGTGGGATTGTGGTCACCAATCTGCAGCTACGAGCGTCGGACGAAGATCTCTTTGAGGACAACCCGATGGATTACATTCGTCGTGATATTGAAGGATCAGATGGTGACAGTCGCCGCAGCGCTGCTCGTGACTTGGTGCGCGGATTGCTTGGCAACTTTGACGAGGCTGTGACTCAGATCTGCATGAGTACAATTCAGACTCATCTGCAGCAATACAAGGCAGATCCGGCCCGTAATTGGGCGATGAAGGATGTGTCGATCAATCTGGTGATTGCTATTTCCGCAATAAAACAATCCCGTCTGCGTGGTGTGTCCGAGGTAAACAGCCGCGTACCATTGATGGACTTTTTTATGGCCGAAGTGCTCCCGGAGCTGTCTACTCCGAACCAAGCGTCTCTCATCTTGAAGGCCGACGCTATCAAATTCGTTTCCACGTTCCGTGGTCAGATGCCGGTGGAAGCTATGGAACAGCTTTTCCCTCTTTTGATGAACTGCATGGACCCATCGCAGTTCGTGGTGCACACATACGCTGCTGCCTGTCTGGAGCGCCTTCTTACTGTTAAGGATCCATCTGGCACCCTACGATTCTCCAAGGATCGACTTGCACCATATCTGGGTAAGCTGCTGGAGCACGTTTTCAACATCGTTGAACAACCCAACTACCCCGAGAATGACTACCTGATGAAGGTGGTTATGCGAGTGATGAACGTAGCGAAGGAAGATATCTTGCCTCTGACTGATATGGCAGTCAACAAGCTCACCAATATCCTGAATCGCATTTGCGCCAACCCTAGCAATCCGTCTTTCAGCCACTACCTCTTCGAGTCGCTATCCGTGTTGATCCTTAACGTGTGCAAGACAAACCCAGCAGCGACGGAACGTTTCGAGGAGTTACTTTTTCCACCATTCCAGAAAGTGCTGACAAACGACGTTGAGGCGCTATCACCTTACGTGTACCAGGTGTTAGCGCAAATGCTGGAACTTCGACCAAGTGGCGTCTCTGACGCGTACAAGAGCATGTTCCCTGTGCTGCTTAATCCTACGTTGTGGGAGCGAGTAAGCAATGTGCCAGCTATTGTGAAGCTTATTGAGGCCTACATGCGAAAGGCTCCGAACGATGTTTCTCAGTCAGTACAAGGAATCCTAGGTGTTTTCCAGAAGCTGATATCGTCGCGATCTACAGAAGCAAACGCTTTCTCACTGCTGCGGGCGCTCTTTGCTTTCATGCCGCACAAAGCTTACGCAAATTTCCTCAACGAAATTGTAAAGATTATGATGATTCGGCTTCAGACCCGCATGGCAGGTCGCAATTCAGTGGGGTACTCGAAGGAGCTGATTTACACCGTGTCCGTTCTTATTGCGAAGCTTGGCCCGGACACATTTTTGGCGTCTTTGGAAGCACTGCAGAAGGGAATGGCGACCATGTTCATCAAGTCTGTGTGGCTGACGTGCAATGCGCGTGGTCGTGACCCTGCTGAGCGAAAGGCTTGCGTTATTGGCCTTACACGATTGATGTGCGAAACAGAGCTCTGTGGCGCCGACTTGGACACGTGGAGTGAGATGTTGGCAGCAGCGGTGAAGGTACTTGAAGAAGCTGGAGAAAGTGGCGCTGTAGTGAAGGACGAGGATGAATCGTTGCTTGAATTGGAAGAGACGGGTTATGAAGCCGGCTATGCGAAACTGTTCTTCGCGTCAGTGGTCCCACTTGACCATTTGCAGGAATACCCAGTGCCAACGCGCTACCTTGCCGAGTCAATCGCAAAGTTGTCGGCCTCTAAACCTGGCGTGGTGAGTCTTTTTTTGCTTGTATCAATGAAGCCTACGAGTGTCTAATTGGTACTTTGATATGTTTTTGATCAGCATTTGGCGTACGCCCAGACAAAACTGCCGTCGCCCGCGACGCTGACGGCGCTGCAGTCGTATTTTGCCCAGAACAACATACTATTCCAGTAAACGGCAACATGGATCGATGTGACAACTTTTCATTATCCGACACGTCAATGTCAGTGCGTGAAAACGTTGCAGTATTTCACCATAAAAGCTCTACTGTTTATTTGATCTCTTTCGTTAGGAAAAGAGCGATCTTGCTCTTGCGTGCTCGTCTCCAATTTGCCACATCGGTTAGCTTTGTGCGTGTGAAAGCGACATATTCATTTCTTGCTCTATGTAAGTCTACAGAGGAAGGGTCTGATTCAAACCCACCATGTTCCGAGAGATGAGGAAGCAGTCGGCGACAGTTCCTCGGCACCTTTTAACGGAGCCCATCGACCCTCGACGGTCGCTGTTGTTGGACTGATTTTATCGTTCGTCCCAAGCAGGACGGACAATTCCAATTACTGCGGAGCGTTGTACATATCAATGCTCTCATCGGACTGGGGGGTGGAGATCGTGCGGTTAAACGGAGTAAAGCCCATGTTCTTCGCCTGCATTCGCGCCTCGCAACGCTCGGCGTGCAGCCGCTCAAAGTAAGCCTGGTTCACGTCGCCTGTGACGTAGATGCCGTTAAAGCACGACGAATCGAAGTTCTCAAGTCCCGAGTTTTCCTGCCGCACGCAGTCCTCCAGGTCCTTCAGGTCCTGGAAGATCATCCACTCGCAGCCAATCTCCTTGGCCACCTGGGCCTCGGTCTTGTTAAAGGCGATGAGCTCCTCTGTCGTGGGCATGTCAATGCCGTAGACGTTTGGATGGCGGATGGCCGGAGCAGCCGACGCGAAGTACACAGCCTTGGCGCCATTCTCACGAGCAATCTGCACAATCTGGCGGGAGGTGGTGCCACGCACGATGGAATCGTCCACAAGAAGCACAACTTTGCCCTCAAACTCGGAGCGAATAGCGTTCAATTTCATGCGCACTGTCTTCTTACGCGCGACCTGACCGGGCATGATAAAAGTACGCGCAATGTAGCGGTTCTTGACAAAGCCTTCACGGTACGGAATGTTCATGCTCTGCGAAGCCTCAAGTGCCGACGTGCGGCTTGTATCAGGGATAGGGATCACCACGTCAATGCCGTGGTTGGGGCGTTCGCGGAGGATTTTCTCGGCGAGCTTCGCACCCATGTTACGACGCGCCTGGTACACCGATACACCATCAATGAATGAATCGGGACGGGCAAAGTACACGTGCTCGAAGATGCACGGCGACAGCTTAGCATCAGATACACACGCGCGGGTCGTCATCTCTCCACTTTGCTTGATAACCATCGCTTCACCCGGTGCAAAATCACGCTCCGTCTTGAACTCAAGCGTGTCAATAGCGACACTCTCTGAAGCCACGACGTAGTCAGTACCATGCTGATTCTTGCGGGTGCCGTACACCAAGGGACGAATTCCATGTGGGTCACGAAAGGCGACAATGCCAAAGCCATTGATAAGTACAACAGCCGCGTAGCCACCTCGACAGCGCTTAAAAACGCCAGTGACAGCATCCAGCACCATTTCCGTGTCCAGTGGTTGGTTTACGCGCTTGAGTAGCTCATCGGCCAGAATGTTCAGCAGCAGCTCCGAGTCCGAGTCCGTATTGACATGACGAAAGTTAGTATTGGCCAATTGATCCACAAGTTCGTGCGAGTTGGTCAAGTTGCCATTATGGGCGAGTGATACACCGTAAGGCGAGTTGGTGTAGAACGGCTGAGCTTCTGAGCTAGAGCTTGAACCAGCCGTCGGGTAGCGGCAGTGACCGATGCCCATATTACCACGCAAATTTAACATATGGTTTTGCTTGAAAACATCACGTACGAGACCATTATCCTTGCGCAAGAACAGTCGCTTCTTCTCGCATGTCATGATACCAGCAGCGTCTGGAATTAAAGTGACCGTGTTAGAAAGAAAGAACATTAGAATATATTGAGTTTAGAACAGTAACGGTCACTTGTACCTTGACCACGATGTTGCAATACAGTGAGTCCATCGTAGAGTCCCTGGTTACAATGCTCAAACTTATTCGCAAGCATTAACGCGATAATTCCGCACATGGTTTACAAAATAAAGTGAAAGTGAAGAGTAGGAAGTTAATGGCTGGCAGAAAAAGCTCTTGCTTTTTGTATGCTGTGCCGTTTCGCTTGGTCAACCAACAGTTGCAAAATCATCCAATCATATATTCGTTATATGTGATTGGCTACTAAAAAAGAGACATTTGCTGAAATTAGTGTCGATTTTCTAAACATGACTTGAACCACACGAATCGTCGATCACAAATGGCCTGTCTTTGCTAGACTCATGTAGAAATTGTATGTATGGCTGATATCGAGGATTTGTATGTGTCAAACAAAGTATTTGTACTCGGCTACGAGTCTAAAATGCACTTAACTACAGTATGTAGCTGCTTGTCTTAACAAGAGGCTGAACGAATCTCGTAGAATTCATACGAGAGTTCCTGCACATCGCTGACTGTCTCAAGAAGATCTGCACCGTCAGGCAGTTCACCAACTGGTGTTATGCTGTAGGAAAGATCGACGCTGGCAGCAAGGAGTGCGTGTAGGTTGGTGACACCAAAACGACTGTGGCTATTGGCATTCATGAGGTAGGCCACGCCATGGGGGTCGCTTAACACGTGGTGTCGCACAACACGCAAAAATCCTTCGGCCGTGCTGGGCTCACAGATAATGTCGCTGCCGATAACAACTTGGGCCTTAGGGACACTCTCGATACTTGCAGGGAGGTCCCAGTCCAGAAGCGACACCTTCACTTCAGGCTTTGCCGGGTCAAATTCATGCGTAAACGGTTTGTTGAGCTGCGCGTTATACTCAAGCGCCGTGCACGTGTCCGCTTGGTAATCCGTCAGCGTCGTTTGGCTTGCATACCGAGCCGCCGTGATGCCCGCGAGTCCAAGACCACTACCCACTTCGATAACTCTTTTTCCCATGAACAGTTCCCGGTGCTTATGAATCCAGCGAGCAAGAACAAATGCTGCTCCCCACAAAAGATAGCCCGTTTTTCGTTGGCCTGTCATGCGAGTAGGGACTTGATGAATAAGCACATCTATCGTGCTCTGGTGGCTGCCGTTCGCAATCTTATGGAAATTATCGCGGGGATCAAAAGGCAGCGACACTACACGCGGCCACAAACGCTCAACTTCTACCACTTGGCGTATGCGATGAGGGAATGTAATAGCAGACGGGCTACTTGTGCACCGTGATACGACCTCTGCAGCTGCCTGTAAATCGTTTCATCCATCCCATAAGTAGCAAAGTCAGGAATAAATGCTTTTGAACTCACTCTCATTGCCAACTATACTGACCTCTTGAATGTCTTCGCACTCGTGCTCCATAAGCCGCATCAGCAAAGGATGAGCTCCGACACGAGCTGTACAAAAGCTAGTAAGTATTTTGCCGGATGAAGCTAGCGTTCACTTTTCAAGATCTCACCGATAAAAGTAGCATTGTCCTCGTCGATCACCGCTTCAGCGAGCAGCAGAAGCATCTGTGGTCACCCAACTTCGTATTAGAAAAAGATATGCGACTTTCCTTCTATTCAGCAGCAGTTTTCGTTACTTCATGCATAATCTTCACGTCATCGGCGCTCACATTGTCATCCACACACTTAACGAATGTAGCCATGCTCTTGGTCACAAAGGTCAAGAACCCCGCTACCATAACACAACAGAAGAGCAAGCAGCATCAGACAAACACGTCCAGTCTATAGCCGATATTTCTTTACGATATGTCAACATACCAAGTCCAAGCACGCAGCGTCCGTAAGTGGTCCCAGCCAACACGCGAACATGCTCTCGCGCAGCTACAGATGTCATAAGCTCCAGAATTAGTGGGCGAGTTGCAGCTACATTCACAGCCAGAGGAGCAGGTGGCATAGTGCAGAGCAGCACCATTTTTGCTTGCGAAATTCGAGGAAGGGTCAAGTGGAGATGACGAAAGGTACTTGTGTCACAACTGGTGGTTACGCGGTGCCACGTCAGTGGTAATCGATGATTGGTTGATGAGCGTCAACCATGTCGCACTTGTGGTGTAGAATACGCCATGCTGAGACCAGACATGTTGAAGCGGTCGTCACTCAGCTTTTTGCAACGTACAGCGGAAGACCATAGCAGATTGCAGCATGACCATTCAAATACTTGAGCTTGCACACGCCTCGTGATTCTTGCAGCACCTGTGCTAGCGATCGACAGTCGTTCGCATCGTTATCGTTTGCTAGGAGCCACTTCTGCAGAACCTTGACACTCAGCTGGTCGATGTCGCGGTCGGTGACATCCCAGAGCATCGCCAGCACCGCACGACTTCCGGCACGCAAATACGCCAGCACAGCACCACTCGGTCCAAAGATTCCCTTGCATTCTAGACGTCCACTGCTGCAACCGAACAACAGTGCAGCGGCACAATCCGGTTGTAAACTAAGAACCTTGTCACGATGCAAGTACGCCTCACCGGAACCGTGACCACAATAAACAAATAGGTCAGCGGCTGCTAAATGGTTGCTGTAGCAAGGCATACCGACAACACCAACGATGTGAGCAAATACTAACACAAGTGCTGCACGACGAGCGTACCTCAATTCGTCAGGGTCTGGAACTTCACCGATAAATCCTTCCCAGTTGTACGTTGTCGCACCGCATTCCAATATCGGACTCAGTTGATATTGCGTTGATTTCAGATCTCCAGCAGGATTCAGCAGAAAACACACTCGGTCTCTTCGGACTGATGACGGACGCTTAGCATTTTCTAAAATCATATCAAGGGAAGGCATGCGTGTTACACCGCTGCAACACCCCATTACATCCATCCCTTCCCATGGAAATTGCTGCAGCTCGTGGTGTAAGATTAAAATAGTAGAGAACTTGGTGTCAAATTCATCGTAAGACCTTTCAACGAAAGACCCAAGCCCGTCGACGAGAGCAGCATCACGGGCAGCAAGTAGGCGCTCAACCATTGCCTTCTTCGGTCCATCTGTACTGAGGCCTTCAGCAGCAAGAAGTTGCATCACCTCACCAACTTTCATCTTGGAAACTGTTTCTCTGCTCAGCTTGACCAACTTTGTCAGAGTTTCTTTCGATGAACTTGGCCTTGGATTTTCTCCCTCCGCCCGTAACACTTGGAGAGCTTCTCGTACAATCGAATCGGATGGGTCCACCCCAATTTCTGCTGCAATGTGATTCAGCCCATCGATTGCTTCAGCGTCTGACAGGCACTGCTGGGCATTAGCAATAGAACACAACAAAGTCTGATTTCTTTCCAACAGTTTGGCAGGGCCAGTTTTGCTCGAGACCAGCAATTTCCAGCAGCGTCGAATCTTTTTCGTTTTAAATGAAACAGGTCCTCCAACGAACAAACATCGCCAAAATCCAAGCGTTTCCTACTAAGAAACAGTTAACAGCATAACAAACAACTTCCAGTGCATTTGATTTGCTCGTACCTCCATGGAGACCAATACTTTCTTAATGCGTTCATCTAGCAGTTTGCGAGTACTCCACCATTCTTTCTTCTGTTCTGAGCTCCAAGAGCCTGCTTCTTCAGCCGTATGGCCTGATAAGCCTTCCCTAAAAACATACTCACACATCATAAACATCAGCTCCACATCAGTGCGAGCTCACTCTGATCACAGTAGTCTTACCTTGAGTCTTCTATGATCGTATACATCTCACGAATAGACTTTGTCCAGGCAGCCTGAGGCAAGCAGAACGAGACTGGCATGGAGCCATTTGTCTATCGTATCACGAAGTTAGCTTGCATTACGTTCAAATCATTACCCCAAAACGTACCGGTAAACGAGTAATAACGAGCTCAGACGATGAACTTATCATCACCGAGACGATTGACCAATTATCTGGTAGCTCCTGAACTTGCTCGGCGACGCTGTCAGCTATTTTTGTCAAGTTTGGATGCTTCTCCACTTCATGACTTGCACTTGCATTTGCAGCCAACCGCTCCAATCGCATCATTAGAGCTTCTTGCGCCGATAAATGGCTGTTCGTTTCCGCGGTGAAGACTTCCTTCACAGCCATACCAGCACTACCAGCATTAGCCAGCAACATGCTGCTCATCCATGAGAGAAACCTTGCACGATTGCTGTCGTCCGCGAAATCAACCTCGCTGCGAGCATTCTCCTCGATTTCAGCAAAATAGGCCATTCCTAATGCTGCCCGCAATTCTTGGCGTAGATGTGGGATTTCTAAACGCTCTCCGAGCAAATACGCTTCTTCCAGCAAGGTAAGCGTCTGACCTAGACTAGTAAATACTCGAGGTGACGCCGAGCGTAACAGGCTCGTGTTAATACGCCCTAGTTCAAGTAGACACTTCACTCGTTCTAAATTACAACCACAACTGTTCATCGACTTCTTAAGCTTCTTCATCGAAACAAACAGCGCCTCCGCTGCTTTTATGTCAGAAAAATCGCTGACTTGGCTCTGTAGTCGTGTATACTTACGCCAGCATCGAGCTATGGCTCTTCTAAATCTCTTGGAAAGCGTAGGTTCTCTAACGCTGACAGCATCCAAAGCCTCTATTGCTTTCGAGAAACATACCAAAGCTTGTTGCCGATCTCCTTCGTTAATGTGCACATCACCTCGCTGCACAATTTCATTGCATTTTTGCTCAATGAAAGCCAAATCAGACTCGATGTAGTCGTGATGCACCGATACCGTAGCACCAACAATTTGGTGAGGATCCAACTTTCGACTAAAAGACAGTAAAGATATGGCTACTTTTGCCTTCTCCAATTGGCTTGCATTTAGCTCCAATTCTGCGTACTCGTAAAACGGACCCCGGCGGAACAAACGTAGGTCCAACCCGCCCACAAGGCGCATTGCCTCCGTCAAACATGCTGTAGCTCTAGATCACAGCAATGCGTGAGTTTTCATCAGCTACATGCATGCACATTGCAGACGACTCGCACGAAAAGCTTACCTTTGAGGCTGATTATATAAAGTGTAAAGAGATGCCAATCGACACAACATTAGCTTTGCGGCAAACAGCACGTCCCAAGACGAACTTTCCAGCGCCATGAAATACAACATATGGGTGAATTTGCGCTGCTGGCAGTCTGCTGTTGAAATTTCTGGTGGTAATTTATACTGTGTAGTATCGGCATACGATAAAAAAACGGTACACGCTTTCGCCATTTTCCAACAAACCCGCAGCGCAGCTTTAGCTTCTGCGATGGCGCATTTGCTTTGCCCTTCATGAAAGTAAAATTCCGACAGTATTGCGTGAATCAGCAGCTCCCGCATTCCAATCACCTTCGCAGCCGATGCGATTTGGCACTGCCTCATACTTGACTTTATATTGCCAAGTATGGTGACCGCACTCAGCAAATGCTGACATGTTTGACTTCTAACACCATCAAGACAGGAGACCTCAGCAGCAACCAACTCTTTGTCCACTTGCTCGAACAGCTGCATTTTGCTGTTGATATCTGCATTTGGCGAGGATACACCTTTCGTCTCCACAATCAAGTCATTGACCTTAGAATCAGAGCCGAACAGCCCCAGCACTGGAGATGCAATGGCGTCGTGAAAGTTTACTGACCACTGGAGCGTCTTTAGCAGCTTTCTAACCGAACTCTCCAGTGCTGAGCATGAAATTAGGGACAGTACATTGCAGATGGAATTCAAGCAGCATATCATGTGAGGCCCATCAAACAGAAAACCAGAAACATCTCCGCCATCCCAGTACTTTACACATTGTTCAATATCCGCAATTGCACTTCCTTCGCAAATGCAAATATTTCCACAAACAATATCGCCAGTTGCGATGCCAGCATAGCTAGTCATTAGAGCAATTTCCATCGTAATTACACCACGCCATCCATAAACTCCTCCGAGATCGACAGAATCGGCACCGACTAAAGACTGGAGGGAGTCAGCAGCACCAGTAAGTGAGTCATGCACGAGTAGCATCCCCTTAATTGCGATGTTCACGTCACGTTTGGCATAATAAGAACAGTAGATGAGTTTGCGCTTTGCCAGGGACTGGGACACATCCAGCAGAATATCGCCGAATAAATCGCCCTGTATCGCCTTCGACTTGATTTTGATCAATTCGCCATCTAAATGACTTTGAAGCGCACAGCACAGCTTCACACACGATTCAGATGAATTACCAGCTGAATGCGATGACTCGACATAATCCTCGGCTCGTAACTTGCCCGTAATCCTAGCAGACGAGCATTCGAAGGCATATCGGAACGTGCTCCACAGTATCATAATACGATCCTCGGCTATGTAGCGAGACTTAAAAACGTGAGTGATGTTGTCCAAGAAAGCTTTGGACGTGTTCATGATGGAGCATTCTGTAGCATTACCCAAGATTGTAAGCTCATCCAAGAGGCACGATACGTACTTGTCGACAATTGTTTGCGGAATCCTCAGGTTAATGTCTCCACAGTACACGAGTGCAAAACCAATGAATATACGCGACCTTGTGACATCTTGCATTTCACGAAAGCAATGTGCCAATAAGGAAGCAATATCATCGACTTTCAGTTCAGCATGTGCCTTGTGTATCTCATCTGCGGTCGCGTCACTGCTCATTACGTACTCCAAGTAGCCTTCTGCAAGCTCAAATGCTTCTGTCAGTGAAGAAATCGTATCTTGAAAGTTTCCTACTTTGTAGCAACGAGTTGCACAGCTGTAACATTCCCGTGCAATTGACTTCAGATCACCAAGAATTCCCTGCAAAATCGATACACTAAGTTTTCCATTCATCGTTGCGTCATCAAGAAGCTCACGGACTAGATTCACATGCCGGGAAATCGCGTGCAGAGCAAGCTTGGTTGGTGTTGAACTGCATGTATCGTCGTAACGCCGCGCCAAGAGGACCACAGCCATTCGATGAAGTCGTGATTCCTCTAGAATTAGCGTTTCAATCATCGTTATATCCGATTCGGCAGAAGAACGTAGTTCCTTTACCGCCTTACACATTTCAGCAAAACTGCAATATATAGGTTAGATCAACAGGTAGTGTCAGCAAAATGAACTGTTTACCTTGTCACGATTTGGTAGCACAATTGGCTTTTAGCAGAATGCTGATCACTAATAGTATAGTTGAACATTTTCGTCGAACTCCTCTTCAGGCAACGCATCACGAACTTTCCAAATGCAGAGAGAATCTGTGACCTTATTGATCCGGAACTAGAAGCCACCAGCACACCAAACTTTTTCAGATACACCAGCGCTGCCTTCTCACACTGGTCAACGAACTTGTCAGGTGTACTGCTGTAAGCGAGATCGCGTATAATTCTACCAGCTCCAGATATTAGTCGTTTGTCAAAAGCACTACCACCAAGACCGTCGCGTAAGGAAGGACTTCCTTGTCGTTTCTTGGAACCAGATGCACTAAAAAAAACACCCGCGATATAAAATAGCAGGCAAGACTGAATAGGCTCTCCCGTGCTTCCAAATGAACGTGCGTAGTGGACCGCACTTTCCAAAATCATCGCACTCTTTATATGCATTCCAAGCGATTCGCAAACGACAGCGAAATGTTCAAGCCATTGAATATATTCCCACTGAAGCGACTTAGACTGCCAAGTTTGCCAGACAACACAACCAAGTTGTCGTTAGCCAGCAAGAAAACATAAAAGTTGCAAGTGTTCGACGTACTTCGTACGTCTGCTTAAAGCTGGGCAGCGTCTGGAGTAGAGCGTCCGCTGATCGATCATAAAATTCACATATTACTTGGAGCCCTTGTTGTGACCGCTTTGATGCACATTCATATTGGACACCAACACGGTGCACCTAAAGAGTACAGGGCAAAGAACCTTATCAGTTAGCCCTCAAAACTCAAACCGGTGCAAATTCCTCTCAAACACTGCTACATATCCCACCTGCTGTATATAGTATATTGAGGTGTAGTTTGAGCATTTGAGCATAAATGTCAATGCCGTTGAGCGGAGCAGGAGCACAAAACTGGCTCCTTTGAACGAGTTTTGGCCACCACCGTCCATCGTCGAAGCAGATTTCCACAATATCCGAAACGCTCGATCACTAAATGATGAAGCTAGCTTTGCGTTCTGGCCAGAAAGCTTGTGCAAATGGTCAATCCATGGAGAGAGCGTGGTCTCAGCAACTAATCTCACAGCCTACAGCAAAGTCCACTCTTACGTAAGCACACTAAAAGGTATGCAACTAAAACCAACCAAATAGAGCCGTACGTCGTAATGCTGAGCAGCAGCTAATAGTGTGATACACGCGTTAGTGTGACCAAGAAGCAAGCGAGAGAAGTGTGCTGAGTGGAAGCTTTCAGGTCGTGGAAACTCCACCAAAAGTTCCAGTTTCTTGGTAACTCTAGTCATGACGTCAGTGCTAATTGCATCTTGCAAATATCTCATCAGCTGTGACGTTCCTGTATCACCGTCATCTAATTTCTTGCACAGCTTGATATGCTCGTTCCATAGACGAACGTGAACACAAGTAGCTACACACATTGCAGACTCACGCATCTACGCGACAAACCAACAAATAGTTAGAAAAATCTAGCAAAAGCACTGCAGCATCTTCATACAATACAGTACCCACCTTGGGCATCTCTGCATATTTCTTGGCTACTTGATAGAGCAGATTCTCCACCACAAGGTCTCCAAGACGTACTGTATGCTCCAACACACACACCACGTACAGTGCCACACATGCTAAGTCCATTGCCACAACTATATCGTTTAGCTCTGCTTCCATACAAATGTACAACAAATTACAATGTTAATCATTAGCATCAGCTAGAAGACGGTGCACCGTATACTGACCTTCCGCGTTGGCTGTAGCAATATTTACTGGCGCGTAAACCTTCACAATACTCTGAACTATTTTAGCAGCAAGTACGATATTGGTTCGACAGCCATCGCTTGTTCGTCGGCGCTTGAAACCTCGCTCTAGAGTCAGCCCTTGAGTCCACGCTGATTGGCGATGCTCAACAGCAGCGCTCAGCAAGGATAGCGTAGATAACGCGATCGATGTAACGCTATTATTGCGCACCAAAGCTGTAGCTTTGGGTATAAAGTAAGCAAGCGCCTTCTTTGCTTCTCCACGTTGCTGTACAAGCATCAGAATCTGGTCACCCCTATCGATGTCACCCATACTAAGCCTTTTTCTAATAAGTACGGAAGTGCGTATTACTTAAATGTCATAGATTCAGAAGAATGACAATAGAACGTACACAAAGACAACGTAAAATACACCATGAGCATCCGTAGCGTGCTGGCTACAGTCTCGAGACAGCATCGATGCGTGTCTACAATGGCTACCTCAACTCGTTTCTTGTCTACAAAAGCGTCAGTAACTAACACTTTCCAGCCGAAGCGCAAGTGTGTTGCGTATCGTCTTGGATGCGTCGAGTATGAGACTGCATGGGACTGGCAGAAACAGCTCATCCGAAACCGTGTTTTGGCCATGCGTGCTGGTCATTCAATGGACAAAGACGTGGTGCTTGTTCTTGAACATCCGAGTGTGTACACATTGGGTCGAGGTGGTAGTTTGGACAATATCAAGTTCGACCCAGAGAAGGAGCAAATCAAGTTAATGCGAGTCGATCGAGGCGGTGAAGTGACATACCATGGACCTGGTCAGGTGGTGGTGTACCCGATCTTGGATTTGACTCAGCACAAGAAGGATCTGCACTGGTACCTTCGTCAAGTTGAGGAGGTAGTGATTCGTACGTTGGCCAAGTTTGACATTCAGGGCGAGCGTGTAGACGGACTTACGGGCGTTTGGGTGGAAGAGCAGTCGAGCTCTGGCAACAATGGACAATGTAGCGGACATTATGAGCGAGAGATGCGCAAGATTTGTGCTGTCGGTACACATGCGAGTCGCTGGGTGACCATGCACGGCTTTGCACTTAACGTAAAGACGGACTTGCGCGAATTTGACCGTATAATTCCTTGTGGTATTGAGGACCGTGCAGTCACAAGTATCGAACGCATTCGTCCGGACACAACGATCAAGGATGTACAGGATGCTGCGATTGAGGCTATCAGTCAAGTCTTCCACCTTGATATGGAAGATGTCGAGGCCAAATCGCCACTGTAATGCATGCTACTTGTACTTGCAGCTGTTTTCCTTTTCGATCTACTTGGGAAGAGTTACGTAGCTCAATTCCTCAAGTGTGAAAGCGACAATGCTATCAACCATTGCAAGGCCTCCATTTCCTGCGTGCATGACAATTAGACCAAGGAACTCACACTACGTCAGAATAGAGCATATATATCCACGTGAATAATTTTGTGTACCAATAACTCCGCAAGCCAATTTCTTCTCCACGGGGGGAATCATCTTGTATCCGAGCTCATTTAGCACTCGAAGTTGTTTAGCTGTGATTGGATGGTTCCACATATCCGTATTCATCGCAGGTGCGAATATAAAAGGCTTGGTCATGATCCAAGCCCGAGCAATGCATGTCTGACAAAACAATACTCCGTCAAAGATAATTTCAGCTCCTCACTGATTCAACAACGTACTACGAGATTATTTGCCAAGCCGTTCGCGAGTTTTCCGAGGGTATTTGCAGACATAGGAGCCAAAAGCATCACGTCAGCCCAGTCCTTAAGCTGCAACACACACAAAAAAACAGCATCAGGGCAATTAAAGTCACAACGTATCGGCTTCCTCGCACCCCCGCACCTCAATGTGACGCACGCGGTCCCCCACGATATTCCACACTTTCCACTCGTCATCATCACGAACAACTTCAATTTTGTTACCATGTTCAATATGTGAAAATTGTGTTGCTGCAATGAACTCCGCCCAAGCGATTGCATCGTAATCTTGGGCGCGTTGTAGGAAAAAATCTGCTGACTTGGTGAGTACCACGCACACCTAATCTCATACATTAATCAGTCTTCACTTCTATCATAGCAAACCTGCACGCCTCTTACCTCTGCTGTCTCCGATAAACGCACTGCAATCTCCGGCACCTTGATCGTCGCCACGCTCCCGCTAGCACACAGCAGCACATGCGGTTTGCGGCAGAAATTCATCGTTATGTCACTAAACCGGGGATTGCAGCACTTGCACGGAGTGATGGTCAGGTCACTTTTTGACCAATGGAAAACGTGGTGCGCGAGCTGGAGCTATGTGGGAAGCGGCCGACACCGCTGGCGGATCAAGTAAAGACGCAGCCATCGTCGATACTGGAGAATGTGACATTGCATGATTACCAATTGAAAGGGATGCATTGGTTGTTGCGCAAATATGAGCAAGGAGTGAACCCTATTCTGGGTGATGAGATGGGACTGGGAAAGACGTTGCAAGTCATTGCATTTTTTGCAGCGCTCGTAGCTCCTGCTCAAGACTTGAAAGAATCTAAAGCTGGACGAAAATATTTAATCATTGCACCGTTAAGTGTGTTACCTAATTGGACGGAACAATTTGAGCAGTTTGCGCCCAGTATTTCTACCGTCGTGTACATTGGGCCTTTGAAAGATCGAGAGGTTACGCAGAAGGTCATTAAAGCCAGTTCGATGGACCAAGCGTTGGTCGTAGTGACGTCATATGAGATGTTATTGTATGACCACGGGTACTTTCACAAAATTGTGTGGGAAGTAATGATAATGGATGAAGGACATCGACTTAAGAACCCAAAGGGACAACTCTATGGAATTGTTTCGACTAGACTGCGGTCTACTTTTGCAGTGATATTGTCGGGAACACCAATTCAGAATGACCTTGAAGAGCTCTTTGCATTGCTTTCAATTCTCAACCCGAACGTTTTTAAGGACCAAAAGTTGTTTGAACTTACCTTTAGAGATTGTTTCTCAGCAAACGCACAACGATTAGATGTGCATCAAGATGCTAAATTGAAACGGTTGAACAAAGTAGATGCGTTGATGCAGAGACTATTGGCTCCTCTGCTTCTTGTGCGCACACTTCAGGATATACAGGGTGCGTTTACATTACCAATACTTTCTGAAACAGTTGTTCATACGCCGATGTCAGCAATGCAGCGCGCGTACTACAAGGAAGTGATCACCAGGAATGCTGAGGTTTTAAATGGCGTGGCAAAAGCTCAAGGGAACAGGTACTTGTGGAAATTGTGAAAAGCATTAGAGCTTATGGTAGGTCCTTGAAAGGCCTTTGGATATTGTCTAACGCTGCTTTGATATGTACGTATAGGGTCCCTTTACTGAATATCTTACCTCAATTGAGAAAAGTATGCAACCATCCATACTTGTTCCCTGGAGCAGAACCTGAACCATTTATAGAAGGAAGCCATTTGTATGAAAACAGTGGCAAGCTCTTCGTACTTCACCAGATTTTGCCGCGACTGAAACAAGAGGGTCATCGAGTACTTCTTTTCAGCCAGTCGCCGCCTTTTTTAGACATCATTCAAGATTTTCTCACGCTTGAAAGATTTGCGTACGAACGAATTGATGGGTCTGTACGAGGGAAAGAGCGTTGGCAGTGTATTGAACGCTTTAGAAGAGACCCTGAAACGTTTTTTTTCTTATCTCGACGCGAGCTGGAGGTATGGGGCTGAATCTGCAGAGCGCCGATACGATCATTTTTGCGGACTCGGACTACAATCCGCAAATGGACCTTCAGGCAGTAGCGCGCGCTTATCGACTGGGTCAAACCAAACCTATTCACGTGATAAAATTCGTCTGTGCGAACACAGTCGAAGAAAGCATATATCGTCGCGCTCTAAAAAAGATGCGCATGGCCGATCGCATCCGTAACCTTGCACGCCGAGTTGATGGTGGCGACGACGAAAGCGACGATGATTGTGACACTGGCTTGTCGGACATAATTCAGTTTGGACTACATCGACTTATGGAAACGTCTGCCAGTGAGGGTGAAGATGCACTCATAAAAGCTCTAGATGAAGAACTCATTCAGCATATTTTGTTCCGGAGAATAGCCCGACCAGTTGAAGGAATTGCAGCTCCCGGTCTGAACGGCGACAAGTTGCTCGAATCAGGCGGAGATTTTCGTGAGGCAAACATGTACTATTTTGAGGGAGAAGACTACTCAAAAGCTAGGAGTACGAAGACGCAAGATGCAGAGTTGCTCCAAAAGTTGTGCACTGAAGCAGCAAGTTGCACAAAGCGACAAACAATAACGGCTCGGAAGGTGTATGAGCACAACGAAGTGAATGAAGATGAAGAAGATGAGGAACAAGCTAATGAGAACGAAGCAGAACGAAATCGGAAACGAGAAAAACGGCGCCAAAAAGCGCTGGAAAGGAAACTTGCCCAGTGGAAAGCCAACGAATGCACGTCAGCCGCAATCGATAGTAGCAAGCCGGAAGATGGCTCACGACACTCACTACTGCGCATCTCTGATGGATGTGGTCGACTGCACTACAAGTCCGGTGACGCCAGCCAACCGTCTCGGAGCTCCCTTCGCGACCGGCCATATATTATTGTTCATTGCGTCGACAATAGCGGCGTATGGTGTTCGCGAGGTTTCTTCCGCTCTCTGTCAATGCTTTCGCCCATCATTCAGAAGAAATATGAAGCGGCTGGGCGCTATGGTGACCTTATGCTTGGTAGTGCACACTTGATTCCTCTACCGCCGCAAGCTGCTACAGACGACGGAGCAGCAACCGATAGGTTTGTGTGCTTACTAGTCGTGCAGGGGTCTCTTGGAAAGAAAAAGCAACGAGTGGGAAACGGGCCTGGCACGATGCAGCGCTTTCGTCATGGTAAATCGTCGACTTTTCACCTCAATGCACTGGAGACTGCATTGCAAGCGTTGGCGCATCGTGCGCTCGAGTTGAGCGCAACCGTTCATTTACCCCGAATCGGCTACGGCACCCCCAATTTCAATTGGTATGCTGTCGAGCGTTTACTAGCACACAATCTTCGAGACGCGGGCGTTGACGCTACGATTTACTATTATTCTGTAAAGCAGAGATTTTCTTAGTTGAGACCTCCATCGGAATCGTAACATTTGAGTATAAAGATGCAGCAATATAGCAAAGCCTTACAGTATTCATTACCTAGCGCACTATAAATACATCCCTTCTTTACTAATAAATAGTTGAAAGAATCCTATGAATAGCATACGAAATTGCGAACTAAGGACCTAAATTCATTCACTTTGCATTTGCCAACCTGTGCTCGCCTGATCTGTACATGGGCAAGCTACCATGTGCTACAAGCACACACCTTCTGCAAAGATGAGGAAGCGATTAAATCGTCATAGCCTCGCGCGCTGTGGTGAAGATTGCTGGTCGCTATAACGACTCGTACAACAATTGCCGGTTGCCGAAAAGGCTCGATCAACAAACAAAAAAACTTACACTGAACTGCGTCGTGGAAGCTGATGCCAGTCTTTTGGAGCGCAATGTGTACTGAGTTGAAAGATTTCAACTGATTTATAATTACTAGGAGTTACTTTCTCGTTCGCGTCTGCGAGCAACATCGTCCAAGAGGCGAAGACATTCGAAGAGCTAGCGCATTATGTAACGGGGTAAGCCCGTTACATTATATGGACACTTATACTGTATGAAGTGTCAATCAAAATCTTATAATAACTAATAATTTTCGACAATAATATCTTTACTTATAATATTGTTTATAAATCTCCTTGAAGTTGGAGGTGCCCTCTAAATGGTTGATATGGGCCATCATATCAACCAACGCGCTGACCAATGACCGATGGACGCGCGCAATGAGTGGAGGGCAAGTTGTTAGCATACATTGTTAAATTTTTATATAGTTATCATAGGCTATAACAGATTAGTTTTATTAGATAGTTAGCTATATTACATCCAGTTTTCTTTTCCTTCTCAACTAAGCGTTTGTTTAGTTGATTGACTTCCTCTGCTCACGTGTACGTGAGGTAGTCGAGGTACCTGCTTTTACTTTCATCAGTGAAGGTAGACTATACTGTTATCAGTATATTCGGAGGGTGCCCCATTACTCATTGGCCCTTTTGCCCTCCTCCAAAGGGGGGGGGGGCCCAGGTGGCTTTAAGAGCGACTCACTGCATGTTGGTATTGACATCGGCTCTCATTTAAAGCAAGATAAGGTCGAGGAAACCAACAAAATTGGGGATAATGACATCCCGAGTACTTCAAAAGGTACGGTCTCGTCAAGGAGATGGCAGCGTCGCCAGGTGGCGGCTGCGAGACGCAAGGCGTCTTATTTATCACATTATGATGCCAGTGAAGAGCTGTACACCCTGGTCAATGGAGTGACAGGTGATGTAGATGGTAAGGTGGGCCTTGAGGCCCTTCCATCAATTAATACTCTTTTAGAGATAGACGATGATCTCTCTTGAGATCGCCTTGTCCAAAAATAAAGATACTTGATCCACCTGATACACTTGATCTTCTAACCACTTGAGCCGTCTAGCGATCTTGTACCTACTAATCGCTGTAAGCGGGACATTGCTTACTTGCATGAGCACTTATTATCCATCGACTAAGTCGAGCGCACTGTAAATCCATTAAATTATACTTTTTGTATTATAAATTACATAGTACAACCTATCATATCGTTCCAAAGTACCTCTTTTTAGGTATTGGCGTCTGTGCAGGTATAGTGGCTGCATAAAGTTTATTATAAGCACAAACAATACTCCACTTACCATTGGGTTTCTCGATACAGAATTCAGATGTCCAGTGCGAAGATTTCCTCTCACGCATCATATCCGCCGCGTGCTTTGTACGAAAGAACTCGTCAATCACGTCACACTGTTCTTTTGGCAGAGGCCACTGTCGTGTTTGGCAGTATTTGGTTCCAGGAACCAAGCCAATTCCATGACGTACACCTCTATCAGGAGGTAGAACAGACGGTACATCATGTCTTGGAAATTTCTAACAAACGGATGGTAGGATCCTTCAAGATTGAGGATCTACTACGTGCACTAAGTGCCGCCTTTGTATCATCCCCTACCTCATCTATAAGCGAGGATGAGTGTAGCACGAGATCCGGTCGAATGACCACCATATCGAATAAACTTTCAGCCTTCAAGACTTGATACAGCTCATTTACAGATCCTGGGTGACTCGGATAGAGCACCTACAAGAACCCCTCGACCGCGAGAGGATTTTTGCACGTTCGACCCCCAACCAATCTCAAACACGGTTAATTTTGGCATCGACTCGAGTCCACCGAGAAGGGTGCTACCCGCCCTACGACGGGTACACAAGGTGAGGAAGGAAAGTTGCACGGAACGGAGTACCCCCTCCGATAGTCGGTTGTCTAGGCGCCAGTGGAGAGTCGGGATCACATCAGAAATTTTGTGAATCCCTCCCCACCACAATATTACATCCTATATGAACGGCTTTACACACCCACGCGCTCCGTTAAGGATACCATTCTGTGGTTCAGGGCTTGGTGGGGGAGAGGTTGCCGATCGACTTGCTGATGCCAGCCCTAATACTGCTAAGAAACAGGTGAATGCGTTTCTCGCAACGCGACTAAGTTTCTTACGACATATGCAAGATGCAATGGCTGATAGCCAAGACAAACAGAAGGAATATGCGGATGCTGAAGGCAGAAGGTGTATTACTTGGTATGAAGTCGAAAAGCAAGTATTGAAACGCTAAGAGACTAAGTGTCTGCTGTCTTTAAGACAAAGTTGCGTCCGCGCTTCATCGAACCCTTTACGGTCGTGTCCAAGAAAGGCTTCGTGTATACGCTTATCTGCCGCGCAAATTGCGTACACATCCCGTGTTCTACGTCGGCATGCTCAAACTATATCGGATTCCGTCCCAATTGAACGCTAAGGCGCTTGCGCCGAGGTCGTCGGCGCTACCGCAGGACGTATCATCTGAATCAAGATTGCAAGCTGCCCCTCCACTCGGATTTGGCTTTGCTCCAACGACTGGAGGCGAGTCTGCATCTGCTGCACGGTCTCACGAAGACATTTCACCTCCTAGAGTAGCTCAGCATGAGCCTGTGCCGATACACCGGCCTCCGCCGGCATTGTTCGATAAGAAGGGGGACCTTCAGTTCCACATGGAGCGGCTTCTTCAGAACCGTCGTCGCCACGGTCAAAATCAATACGTGGTGAAGTGGCAGGGTACCCCGAGTCGAGGGACTTATGCTAATTTGAGGTACCTCTTGGGGAAGATTGCCCCTACGCCGTTGACATTTTCGAACGCTGCGTTCAGGGTCATCTTGTGACCGATGGCGTTTCTCACCAGTAGTGAGGAGGGCGGACGAGATCACGGCCTCGGCCTGACGTGAACTCGTGGCTACAGGAGTAGCCAAAGCATATTAGTGCTGCGCAGCAAACGCATATTGCGTTTGTTGTGACTTCAACTTGCCTCGGGACGTTAGTTTAGCGTAATCGTAAAGCAATTTTCGTTCGAGACGGACGTCTGCCACGTCGGCACTTGCTCGTAGAGCCCACATTCTGCTCAAATGCCATACATAGTGCGCCTAGCAGCTAAAGGCCGTATCCATTACCTTTCTAATTAGCCTGCGACATAAAAGGATGGGAACACCCTTCATAGGTAAAGCTATGCAGTGCTTGCCTAGCCAGACGTACCAAATATAGGCCTTGGTGGTGAAGTTTTATTTCAGATACCGTTGGCGAGGAACCGCTTGCTAAGCGATATCTTCCGGTGAAGCGGCTTCAGGCCAGATGACCCATTATGAAAGGGACTGATTAGCCACCTCCTTGAGGCGCTCTTTCACAGATATAGGTTTCAAGATATTCTGCTTTGACCTTTATGTCCGACCATACTCTTTGACCGGCGATTTTTACCCTCTTCTTGGTCAACGGTTCATTGTTGTTGCTCATCGAGCGGGTTAGTGACTGTCGCCGTTGACGATACGTAACACAGTTAGCGCATCCGCAGCACTACGTTCAGGGAACGGATTTGGTGCATACCGAAAATCGTCTTCACAATAAAGTGTGATTAGTGGGGGCCCATCGGATCCAATAGAAGAAAGTGTTACTTCCGTAATCCACCTTGTCATCGAGGTCTCCTCAAAAAAGATCACGAAGAGTCTTTAAAACGGTGCCGGGAGGCGTCATGTGTTCCGTGAATAATCGTGCGGTTAAAGTTCGTTAAAGCACTACCTCAACAAGGAAAGGTGTCACATGACATTCTATGGGAACGTCAGTGTAGTGGAAGAGGGTATAACGGGGTGAAACGAGGGTTGGAACATCATACCGAAAGTACATCATTGTTGAAGTTTTTATATTGCATGTGTAGTATTATTACCGATCCTTCTAAGAAAGGGGCTTATAGATTAGTAATATTATGAGGTATTGGTAATGTAAATCGCTATGGCCACAGCAATTTTTACTACGGCCACAGACAAAACTACTTGGGCCAAAGACAATTGACCCAACCAATCACAGCCTATAAAACACAGTTATAACTATGCACTCTAGACATCATATTACTTGTTAAGTTGTACACATGAGCTTCAGTTTATTACAGGTGAAATTAGCAGCGCATTCTGTCCAGTCTAACACATCCTCAAACTCTTTTTCGATGCATCCAATGCCCCTGCTGGTCGCGGACGAGCGCCTCGAGTCCAATTTTTAGCGTCACGTGCAAGTATGGCATTTCTCGCGATGCTATCACGTTCATACAAATGCGAATCAACGTTAGCAATCAGCGGCTACATGTTAATACTGCTATAGCGTAATAACTGCTCTTTTTTCTGACCGTCTAATTGTTATCTATGCATGGTAAAGGATAAACTCTTAGGATCTGGATGTTGGAACGGTGGATGTTGTTGATAAGGATCCTCGACAAGGTGGCGTATCACTGCTGCGAGATGTTGCAAGTGATTGTAAAGGACCAGGTGTGTCCTTGAAGAAAGAGAAGATTGTTAATGTAAAAGATTCGAATTTCGGCATTTTTATTTTAACGGGCTGAACGTTACACGTACCCGTTAAGAATGCGATACTTAACGGGCAGGTATAAAAAGGTACGTAAGTACTTAAGA